CAAGTGAACAGTATGTGTGTATGTATTTTTGTACATATTTACGACTATATGTATGTATATACTGGAATATAAGAAAAGCATAAGTTGAACTCCGGCATATTCCGCATCGATACGTCTTAATAGCTGCCAACACTCATTAATGAGTTTTAATCGAATGATTAATTTCTTAAGAGCTCTTTTCTCTATTACGGCCTCAGCCACAACCATTTGAATAGCTGTCCACGGATTTGCAATCGCCCCATGAGTAGTTACCTTAGGTTTAATGCCCCACGCTCGCAGCTCGCGGCTCGCACCACACCAAATACCATGAGAGGGAGCACAAGCATCGAAGCTGCCGCCCACCTGAAAAACTCCCCGGGCCATGCTGATTATTTTCTACTTTGCGACGGCTTTGCCCCTGGCTTGTGCCCGTGCCAGCAACAGCTTAGCGAGGCTGCCAATGGTGGGTTGCAAGGCATGGCGGAGGCAGGGCAGGGCAGGGCATGGCTTGGCTTGATTTGGTTTGCTTTGGCGCATGTAAAGCAACAGAAAATCGATTAACATGGCTTTAATGGTCGCTCCCTGCCACTTGGCAATTGCAACAGCATGCTGACAATGAGACCGCGACAAACTTCTCACGCCTGTGAAAGGCCCCGCGTGCGTGTCTTCACCCATTCAGACGCCTGTCCCAGCTGCCAACGGTGTAAATGAGTGAGCAACTGGGGGTTTCCGGTCGCCCACTTACACAATTACACTGCCTCAGCCAAAGACACCCCCCCCCCCCCCCCCCCATGCGCCCTCCGCGCCGTCAACCCCATCAGCAGCTTCCTTTTGACTTTGCGCGTGCCGCGTGAGCACGATTAAAGGTATTAATTGTGACAGATTTACGCATTCATTGTTTAGGACGTGACCCCACCTTCGCGCCTTTTGAAACATTCAAATTCCGATGCTGTTAATGATGAGCCCATGTTTTCTCAGCTTAAGCAGCTTTAAAATGTTGCTATAATCGATTTTATTTCATATGGAAATTGCGTTAAGTCGGCTTACTTCAAATCTCTGAAACTCACATGCGACTACGGTGTTCGATAGAGACATGGCCAGATAGCTGAGAGGTTAGATAGATAGAGAGCAGGCTGCTGGTTCGCTTAAGATTCGGTTCGTGCATCCGGTATACCACAACTACTTAGCTAGATTTTCATTCGAGCTTTAGGTTAAAAGTTGCCAAACTAATAATAAGCCAAGTAAGCGTGCTCCAGTCGGGTATGCCCGCTATACATGCATACACAGAAACACAAACATACGTGCGGCTATCACTTGACTCCACTCCGCGTCAATGCTTATAGTCCGATTTTTATGAAAATTTGGAGTGTCATTAATACGACACCCAAATGCGTGTATATACTAAGTCGCACTGGTCTTCCACTAAACATTTTCTAATTATGGGCCGAAAACGGAAGGTCTACAAAAACTGATACATCCAAAATTTGTTCATGCTATGAGAGTACGTACATGCTAAATGTAACTTGCATTTATAACTTTCGAGATATGCTTAAAAAAACAAGTTTCAAATCGATTTTTATCGAATACATGGCTTAAATTTCACTCGCTTCTAAGATCGAAGGATATGGCTAGATCGGCTTAGCCAATGGTCCTGATCAAGAATATATATATTTTGTGGGGTCAAATTTGCTTCCATCCGCTTGTTACATACCTTTTCACCCGCTTTAATGGATTGAGGGTATAAAAAAACTAGCTGTGGCTTTGGAATTATTCTTCAGGAATCACAACGTCCTGCTCACACATAAAGAGCGGAGTTTGTCTTCGGAGACTCGCAGAACACTCGACTCTTCTTGTAACCTTTATAACACAGCACAGTTGGGATTCAAAGCAGATTCTTTTGAAGCCTCTGAAAAGTGTCCCCTATCACATTCTGTTGCTGTTGCGGTTTAAAAAGCGGGCTGCACCCGCAGATTGGGCCCGGCGCAGGGGCTATCTATACAAAAACTATTTGGTTTCTTACGTAAGGTCCCTGGTATGGTCTTGTCAAGAACTGTAATGCCCGTTTAATATCTTTTAAGTTCAAAAATCGCTACACTCGCAAATTATTTGCTGTATATTACGCATACGCAATGTGACCATAAAATTGCTGTCAGCTTGCATTTAAGTGAATTTCAATTGGGGTAAAAGCCACAGATAAATTTGTTATAACCAAATAATTTGGAAAATTATTTGATTGTTGCAGAACGCAAACATGATTGATACCGGCTAACAGCATAAATATTTCAATACTCATAATGAGGCTCTCATGAAAATGCGAGTGCATACGAGTAGGTACTTGTTTAGCTGACATAAGGGCCTGGCTCATGCTTTCCCATGTACATACATAATAATTACTGACATATCGATTAGCATAAAAAATTTGTACATCAAATGTGCGTCCCCAATAACAAACTATCATTCTACATGACTTTGTGTCTTTCACATTTCCACCCATTTCCCGCCCGCGGTAATGAATACACATAAGCGTTGCACACAAGGTGCTGAAACTTAATCCCCTTATATGCTTGTGGAGTTGGAAAATATATGATATAGTGGTGCCACTGGCCAAGTCAAAATCAGGACTCAACGAACTGGCATTGTGTGTGGGTCCGAGCTGTACTCGTTCACATTACTCATTACATAGGCACCACAATTGGCGTTGATCTGTGACACCCGCCAAAACATTTGTCATGCGCAGGACATTTTACGAAATCAAACTGAAATATCCACATAAATTGTGAATCCTATCAATGCATACCCTTACAAAATAGAATGGAATGCAAATTTAACAAAACGCTATGGCAACGAATTCTAATTTAACACAAACTCTCAAAGTTATCTAAAATGTTATTTAGATTCAGTTAATAATTTTCAATAAAACTGAGTGTCTTCAAATTGAAGCAATTTTTTTTTGATCAATTATAATTTAAATAAATTCTGTGGCCTTTAAACTGCAGTACTTAAAGAGCATTAGAAATTAGAAGCCAGATTCTCGTCGACAAAAAACACTTTGCCAAATGTCAACGCGCTATATTTATGCAGAATTGATTTTGCAACAACAACAACAATAATAACAAGAACAAGAGCAACAACTGGCATGACAATGTATTACACAAACATACGTGTATATAGAGCATATACAACATATTTACACGTATTCCGGGGGCCAGTGGCAGCCAGCTCGCTTGGTAATGACAGAAATTTGGAGAATACCCATTAGGGAGGCCCACAAAATGACATTGCAATTGAATTACGCGCAGCAATAAAATTTATGTTGTACACGTCGCACAGTGTAATTGAGAAATAAGCACAAAAATAAACTGCAAGCAAAAGTTTAAACAACAGAACAACTTTTTACACATTCGCATACAATTTATTTTATAAAAGCACATGCCTTTGGAAGATTATGTGCTAAGTTGTTTCATTGGGGATTTTTTTTATAATGGTTAAAAGTCTTTTTTACCATCAAACAAACTTCCTGGAATATAAATTATTACAGTCTTTTAAGTTACTACCGGATATTACCCGGCCTTGCCCGTGGCAAGATTTTTGCTTCAAATTTTAGTAATCGTTTTCCGCCCTTGAAAAATTCCATGACGATAGCTTATAAACTCAGAGACTAGCTTGCACAGAAACCGACAGACTTAGATATGTCGACTCGGCTGTGCTCATGCTAATCAAGAATATATATACTTTATGGGCTTGCAGACATTTCCTTCTATGCATTACATGCTTCGTGATGGAACCTAATGCCAACACACCAGTTATTTGGGAGTGCAGCGCATTTAATACGTCGTTATAAGCTAATGTCAACCGAATTAATACAAGTCGGACTTAAAATATCTTTTCCTGATTTCAGAAATAGGTTTGCAGCCTTTTATCGTGAAGTACAAATGTCCGAGTTGCCGTTGTTCATGTACTGTCCCGGCTCCATGGCCGTCAAGTTGCGTGATTCTTGGCTTGTTTGCAGTTTGATGTAGATTGGCCTGGTCTTTGGCTCCGGCTACGGAAGTTTAGCGCATTGCAAGTGAAGCATCGCATCGCTGTTAGCGTTGAGTGTGCCACATGTAGGTGCATATATGTTGGCGGGTGGTGGGTGTGTGTGTGCGTGTGTCGCTTGGTTGTGTTTATGCGGTTCATTGTTGTTGAAAAGCGCAGTCCGTGCCGACACCCCGGGCAATGCAAATATATGCACATGTGGACATAAGTACATGCCAGCCAGCGTCAGCCGCCGTTGACGAGGCCATTGGAGTTGATATAACCTACAGTATTGTGGACGGGGACCAGAGGTTGTGTAGGTGTTGAATGCAATTGGCTTGAGTCTGTGTGACGCTCTGAATAAACAGCATGGCTGCGTCAAAAGGAAGCCAGGACGCAATACAACGACCAAAAGTCTAGTCGGGCACAAACAACCAACATGCCCTCACGCACAATCACAGTCACACGTACACACAGACACACACACACACACACAAACTAGCTGGAGACCATGGCAGGAAGCTTTGAGCCTTGAGGTCACTCCGATTGCGACGCGGGAAATTTCGTCAAATACAGGCAAGTGACAGCGTCCAGCCTTAAAACAACATCACGCTGCCACGCCCCCCTTTAAATATGCAGAAACACATCCGAATCTGTGTATGCGTGAAAGTGCGTGTGTGTGCTTGTGTGCGTGTGCATGCAAGTGCGCGCCTGGTTGCGTTTACCATGTCAGCTGGTTGAGCACAAACAAGCCCGCACCCAGGCAAAGACCAGGCTTTGAACCAGGTCATTTGTTCGTCATATCCCATGCAAAAAGGATCATCCATAAGGTAAAAAGTCAAGACACTTGAATTTCAATTAAAACCTGAGGACACACACACACGCAGACACTTGAAACTGAACAGAATTATTTTGTTTGACCTCAGACATAAAGTACATCTACCCGATATTTAATTGATGGTATTATTATTAATATTGTAATACATATTATTTTTCACCGTGCAGAGGTACAGGGCATTCACATAAAACGTTTTCTAAAGTCTTCTGATCCCCTCCACAGAATCGTCTTGGGTTTCAGTTTTTGAGGTAATAGAATATTAGGTTGTATATGTTCTCCTTTCTCAGGTGCACAAATCGGGTGCTTGTATTTTCAACACACAGTCAGCCTAGTGTAGTCGTGGTTCAATTCTGTGTTCCTTGGAGAGTCCACTTTTTGCCCCTTGCTCGGCTTAGAAGTCGGCCATATTGGTTATATTCCTCAATAGGAACGTACTGCTAGCATATTCAGCTGCTGAAATCAGTGGCCGACCAGCTTTGGCGCGATTGTAAAGGGTCTTGGCTCTTGGAGTGCCGCCTGGCTAGCAAAGAATAATTAAGAGATCCTTTCGCTCAAATTTTCCAGAGCCTGATCTGACAGCGCGCGCTCTTGCTTGAAGACTTACTCGTGCTTATTGACTATTTTAATATATCTTAGTTCCAATAAATCCGGCATCTGTATCTTCCTTTTCCTTTATGGATCCATATTCTATATCTGTAAGCTGTTAGGTGGTACATACTATATATATATATATTTAACTATTAAAGCTGTAAATTATTTATACAATCACAATATAGCTATGGACGGATTATGTTTCGTTCTTCGTGTAACTTGTTACGGAGTCTTGCCTTTGTCGAATTCCTCAATGCGATTCTCCAACTTGTCAACCTCCAGCCACAGGAGTGAGGCCTCATGCCAGGGGGGCGGTGGATCGGCATTAATTGTCTCCATTAACTTCTCTAAATGGGCCCGATCCATGTCTATGGCCATTTTTCGTCTTTGATACATAACGGCCCGTAGGTTATCCATTTGGGAATCGGACGATAATCGCTTGACACCAGTTTTAATAGTCTGACACGCCTTGTTGCGAGTTGTGCACTTGTCTGTCTCATTGGTTACTTCCAAGTTCATATCTGGCCACTTCTGCTGCTGCTGATACGTTGTCTTGGGCCTAGCGAATTTTCGAGGTTGCGGTATGGTCTCCAAGCTACGAATTTTCAAATCTTCAGTTTGTGTGGCCACCGTAACGGTCCCAGTATCTGGCCCATTCCACTGGTCAATGTTGTCAGTCTTCAGTAGGTCTTTTATCACAGCATTTGATTTCATTGGATCCATGGCGATCTGTCGTTTTGAAGGGGTGTTAATTGCACTTCACTTGAAATTCGCGTTCAAATTTGATTTTTACCAGATTTGTCTGTCAAATTTTCTATTTATTATTTTCTTCTTGCTCTGCAATCCAGACACAATTTTATTTGCCTTTTGATTCGGCACCTTTCAGCAAGCAATCAACATTAAAAGCATGGCTACCCAAATTCTACAAAATTTTATATTAAATCAAATGCCTACTTTATTCAAGAATTCCTATTCGATAACTAAACGTAATAACTACTATATTTATTCCTTAGACAGGCTCATGCAGGAAATAGTTAGCCAAAGGCCATAGAAGCTACTAAAATTGTTTCCCTGATAAATTATCCCGGGCAATACCCAGGCCTTGCCCGTGGAACGTTTTGTGCCAAAAATTGTAGATATTACCTTTGCACTAAGTACACGCCCGTAGAAAATTGAAATCTACCCATCATGATCTCCACTTCTATTCAAAAATATGTTTTAAGTGCATCGAATAAAGAACTAAGTTTTGGAATCAACGGTTTCCGCCCATGTTAGTCTTGCGATGAGAATCTTAAAGCTAAAGAATAAAGTTTCATTTATTAAGCCTTTGACCCGTATTTGCCACCCAAAAAGATTTTCGAAATTGATTTTGAAGCCGATCGGACGATAAGCAAAAAACCTACATGCAACCATTTTTCGCTAATTAACCACTGTTGTGTCCGGGATTTCCCAAATCGCTGAAACACGTATTCATTAAGTTCTTATGTAGTGCTTTGAAACTAAGTTTGATGCAAATCGAACAAAACTTAAAACTTCGCTCAATATATATAAAGATGTATGAATATGTTGAATCAAACTAGCTTCCAAAGATTTCCAAACAAGTCGAATACATCATCAATGCACAGCTATCGAAATCACCAACATTTATCTAAATCGATTAATTCATCAACACAGCAATCGGATGCAGCGCAGATGCAATTGCGAATGCCTTGAAACAGGTCCACCCTAAAAAAAAGCTAAGAACATCAAACAAAAACAAAGCAATAAAGATAAGCAGAAAAGAAGCGTAAAGCAAACGAGAAAAACACAAAGGCAAACTGAACGCAGCAATTGGAGGCGACAGTCAGTGTCGTGTTCGGAAGCAAGCACAAGCAGCAGTTGAGAGCAACAACAAAAATATGCCACACCCAGTGATCCTGATACATGGTGGAGCGGGGGACATAACCGACTCCCGCGTTGCTGGCAAGTTTAAGGGCATCAAGGACGCGCTGCGTGGTGCCTGGAAGCATTTTGAACCGACAACAGAAGCGTCTGGCAGCGCACTAGATGCTGTTGAGACGGCCGTGCGTTCCATGGAGCTGGATGAATCGTTTAATGCGGGCTACGGTTCCTGCCTTAACACCGCCGGCGGCGTGGAAATGGAGGCCAGTTTCATGGAGGGGCGCGATTTGCGTGCCGGCTGTGTAACACTGCTGTGTGATGTCATGCATCCGATCACAGTGGCACGCCGGTTGATGGAAAGGCGACGTCACGTTTTTCTTGGCGGCCAGGCGGCATTAGACTTGGCGCTTGGCTCGGGCATCGAGCGGCTGCCGGCTGGCTCTCTTGTCACGGAGAGCGCTCAGCAGGCATTGCGAGAGTTTAAGGAGCAGGAGGCACAGGGCTTGGACACCACTTTTGCTCGCACTGAGTTAGATAAGGCACGCACCGATCCGAATGGAGATACTGTGGGCGCCGTTGCCATGGACACGAGCGGACTAATTGTGGTGGGCACCTCAACGGGCGGCATCACGGGCAAATGGCCGGGACGAATTGGCGATACTCCTCTGCTCGGCTGTGGCACCTATGCTGAAAATACTATTGGCGGAATCTCTACTACGGGCCATGGTGAGACCATAATGCGCTACAATCTAGCTCAACGTATATTGGGCGCCATCCAGCATCAGGGACTCTCCGCACAAGCTGCCGCCAAGCAGGAATGCCAGAAGATGACAGAGCGCATCGGCGGCACCGGCGGCGCCATTGTTATTGACCACAAGGGCGAGGTGGGCATCAGTTGGACATCACGCCGCATGGCCTGGGGTTACGTGCGAGACGGCATCATTCATTATGGCATCAATCACGACGAAGTCTTCCAGGAGCCCTTGGTGCCCACACAAGAATAATGCAATCACTTAAAAGCTCTTTTACACAGGTCTTAAGCGTACCCTCAATGTTTTCTGTATTATTTGAATAAATTACTATTAATAAAGCACAAAATTATAAAGTCTAAAATATAAATGATAAATGTGTATGTACATCATTATGAATATCAAAAAAAAAAAAAAAAGACCTTAACATGTCGCTATAATTATATATATATATATATATATATAGATTTCAGAAAATTGTTCATAACACCCAGACTGAATTGTGGATCCATTGTACTTGGCAACTTAAAAGATTATGTCAAAAACCTGAGATAAAACAAAAATCGAGCATTTATTGCTCCATAAACACCTCAACTGTTTAGGATTGCGAATTATACTAAGAACTCTATCGAATTGCGAATTGTACCAACAACAAGGAATCTGTTGAGAGATTTTAACCCTTGACCCGTCCATTCATTTTAATTTGGACAATCAAAGCAATAGCCCATGACAATTACGAAATAATTCAATATTAAGCATCTAAACAATCGAACAAAGAGATATAGAGATTGCACTTGCCTTTGGGCTGTGATCTGACTAACCCTGGCCACCCCTGGGCGCCACTTCGCGCTGCGACTCGTGCGCCTCGGTGGTACCATAGCAATACTTGGCTGCTTCGTTGCGGTACTTGTTCTCGTGCTCGACAGAGTGTGAATTGGTGCGGCACTTGACGAGGCACAGCTCAAAGTGATCCACCACGCTGGCATAGATGTATTTTTGTGTGTCTTGCGCCTGCAGCACCTGCTCCAGCAGCGACCGCTTGTTCGGATGCAGGCAACAGGACACACAGTATTCATAGACGCCGCAGCAGTGCGATGTGGAGTTGCAACTGTGGCAGCTATAGTAGCTAATTCCGGGCAGCTCCACGTTACAACAGCCATTGGCCAGCATCTGCTCACGTAAACATACGAAACCACGCTCATCGGCCAGCAGTTGACTCCCCTGCACCGAGTTGCGACAACGTAAATCGGGATCGCGGGTTCGATTGAGATGTTCTTCCGGCAGCAGCAACTGTTGCTGCCAAAGCAGCGGACGTGTTCGTTGGGCTTTATACTCATCGTAATGTAGCGCGCTAAAGGCACCCTTCTGCTGAGCGTAAAGCAGAGTAATCAAATTACTTAATAGGAACGAATTCTCACATCACAGCTTACCCGATCAAAGAGGCTTTCGAATATGTAGAGAAGGGCCAGCAGTACTAGAATTATATAAATAATGCGTCTTCTTAGCAAGCGTGTGAGTGCGGCTGGCCACATCGTATGCGTATGCGGGCATGGGCATCGGCATCATTGCCAGCGGTTTTTCCAGGCAGTTGGCTGCGTCAAATCTGAAAACAATGCTTTCGTTGTTGCTGATGCTGCCGTGCTACAGCGTCCAAATTGTTAACACGCTGCATGCGCATTGGTTGTTAAGCGCTTTTCGAGTCTATGCCAAATTACTTGGGAAATATTTGCAATTTGTTTTGAGCAAACAGCTGTGCTGAGCGTTGCCAGATCCTTTCACTATCAGGCAACGCCAGTTATAGGATGGCCGTGTCGCTTATCGATTGTTTTCTGAATACTATCGAAGATAATTTGTCTTGTCAACATTTAAAAACTGCAATTATTGACCTACTCTGAGTTAAATTCCTTCTAATTGTTTATTTATTAATGCACACTTATGTGTTACGGTCTTCTAATATATTATATTTAATATCATTTTCATGCCAAAACCTGTATATTGGATTGTTAATGGATTTCTAGGCATGTTTGCTTTTTAATTTTCTCCATCTGACAATGTTTCCGCAAAGTCCTGTTCAGCTTTATAGGCTCTAATTTTCGCACGCAAAGCCATATCGGGTTCCAGATGATGCGGCTGTATATAAGATTTGCTTGCGCATCCTACTACTGGACAGCGTATACCCATGTTGTCTTTTATAATAGCCTGCACTGAATCATGGTCATAGTGATGACCGCAATTAATGTTGCGCACTGCATTCAACATAAGTGCCTTGGACCAGGGGTCATGCATTGAGACCACCATGCCACCGGGTTGCAGGACTTCGGCCACATCCTCATCATCCGCGTTTCTGGCATCCGAGTCAGCATTAACGGCTTCCAGTTCCCGTTTAAACTGTTTGTACTCTGAGGTTATTTTAACATTGATGCGCTTTTTCTCTTCGTTTTCAAATGATTGTAAGCACTGCTTGTTTAAGTCTTCCACTATATCGGTTTCAGCTAATGCTTGTTGTAATACAGCATCGATGCGTTTCTGCTTGGCCTTCATGGCAATTAGACGTTCGCCTACCTCCAAGCGCTCCTTCAATGTATCATTGATCACTTTTTGTATTTGGCTGTGGAAACTGTCATCGCAACCTTTAAAAAATCGCAACATTTTAAAAACACCAACTACCGGCATTGACGATAGCGACTTACAGTTTTCCAACGACTTTATAAACTCGGTGTTTTCAATAATGGTCCTTTTAACATCTTCAATATTACTTATGAACTCCATGGTATTCCTTTATACATTCTATAAACAAGACGCCGATTAATAGCAATAGCTATCGGAACTAAGCAATCGCTTTTTCGAATTGAACTAGGTTTTCACAAAAAGCGCGCTTAATTTAAAAATATACAAACAGCTTCAGCATGCAAGGATTTACAATGAAAATAGATTACCAGATATAATGCAATAAAAATGAAATTAAACTAAAATATTCTCAAAAAGCTGAAGGCCTTTGCTGCTAAAGCTTAAGGTAAGTTTCGCGCAATTTGTATTTCGCGACATTTTATAATAATATAAAAATAATAATAATAATAATAATAATAATATTAAAATCTTAACAATGAAATTATAACATGTAGACTTTGCTATATTCGTCTTAGAGAATATTAGATAATTAAAAAAAAGTTTCGATAGTGCCGAATAAACACAAAAAGTTTTAATGTTTTAATGCTAATACTAATCTCTTAATCGTAACCACTTGCGAACCGATGCAAAAGAACTAGTTCAATTTAAAGCGCCACGGAATCAATGTGATTCCATTGGTACACCAATACAACTCTAGACAACTGCTAAGAACATTAAGAAGCCGTGGTGAAAGTGCCAAAGGCCTCTAAGCGCCAGCATAGAAGCAACGTAGCGGAGAACAGAGAACTACAGTTGCCAAGCAAAGCACGCACACTCATTGGGGCATCATTCAGTGAAACTGTCAAACAGTTCGACCCGCAGCCAGGAGCAACAGCTGTTGCTTGCCGCACATACACACAACACATACACAGCATACCTACAAAATGCCACACACACAGTACCAAAGGTGGCTGTACACCTGCCTGTTGGTCAGCATATTGCCCACGTTGTGTCTGGGCCTTCTGGATGGTCTATACTGCGGCAAAGAGAACTGCTACGATGTTCTGGGCGTCACACGTGAATCTTCCAAGTCAGAGATTGGCAAAGCCTATCGCCTATTGGCACGCAAGCATCATCCCGATCTGCATCGCGGTGAGGAGGCCAAGGCGCTGGCCGAGGAGCAGTTTAAGTTGTTGGCCACTGCCTACGAGATACTGCGCGATGAGGAATCCCGCACCGACTATGACTACATGTTGGACAATCCGGACGCATACTATGCGCATTATTATCGCTACTATCGTCGACGTGTTGCGCCCAAAGTGGATGTGCGTGTGGTGATTGTAGTTACGTTGACCATCATATCGGTGATTCAGTACTATTCAGGCTGGCAGCGCTATGACGCCGCCATAAAGTACTTTGCGACGGTGCCCAAGTATCGCAACAAGGCGCTGGATATTGCGCGCGATGAGATCCAGGAGCGTGTGCACACGCGAAAGGGTAAGAATCGCAAGAGTTTATCGAAAACCGAACAGAAAGAGGAACTGGAGCGCATCATACGAAAGGTGATCGAGGAGAAGATGGACGTGCAGGGCGGCTATGCGAAGCCCACGCTTTGGGATGTGCTTTGGGTGCAGTTGCTCATCTGCCCGTATACGCTTTTTAATTTTATTGTGTGGCATGCGCTTTGGTTCTGGCGCTATACGGTGCTCAAGCAGCCGTACGGACGGGAACAGCAGCTTTATCTGATACGTCGCCACATGGGCATGGGCCAGCATCAGTTCAATGCACTGGAGGATAAACAGATCGAGGAGTATCTGCAGCTGGAGCTGTGGCAGCGCGACAATTTTGTTGCGTGGAAGGCCGATCAGGATGAGGACATGAAGAAAAAGCTGGCCGAGAATCCGCGTTACAAGGCCTACAGGCGCTATATGAAGAACCATGGTCCCGGCCGAATTACCTTTGAGGATTAGGACGGCGCCAGTTGATGTTCAAGTTTTATTGTTCCATCTTGTCGCCATTGGCAAACTGTAATTTATTATTTTATGTTCATTATCTAAAGTTCATGTTTTTTTATACATCTTTTTTCTGTGTGTAGGGCGAAGTTTTGCAATAGTTTAAAAATAAATTATGTTAATAATTCTGTTAGCCATTGGATACTGCCCGCCGGCACCGATGGCCAAAACGTTGACCTCGCCGCAAACCGGTTCAAAACGTGCTTACTCGCCATTTCATCTTTTGAAGCAGAAACGTGCGAAATGCCCAACAATACGAATCCGAAACCGAGAACTCTATCTAAAAACGTTGTTAGCTCAATTGTCCGAATTTTTATAGCAAATATACAAATAATATTATAAAAAAATAAATATTTTTAAAGCTAATTGTTTTACAAATCGAAAGTGGAAACCACAAGACGTCTCTATGTGCTGAGTATTTACATACATACGTAGACAATGATCGCAAATTTCTAAGATTTCCGCCGTCTGTGCCCATTCAAAAAAAAAAGTATTAATATAATTTGTATTTTTATTGAGCGATATCTTGGAGTTTTCGCAAATACATGTGCACATCTAATATGTAACTTCTGAAAGTTCTGATTCAACATCAATATATATGTATTGATCAACATATATATACATATATATATACATAGCACAAAAGAAAGTTATTTGCGTCAAATTTGAGATATCTGTTTTCTACATACTTCCCAACCCTAGGAAATAGAAATCTACCCATACTATTCTGAACTTAACTTTAGCTATATTTCACATAGATAATAATAATATTAAATAGATAATATTAATAATAGGTAATTGTGGTGCGCTTAGTCAATACGTGTTTTGATAAATTTGTATCCGATCCTATGATGATAAGGATAATCAATAGCCAAGTCGATCTAGCCATATCGATCTCGGAACTGTATGCAGGGTATGTCATGGTCGGCACTCCCGACTTCGGTGTATCATACTATTGTTTTTGGGCTGTCGAATATGGAGCACACAACCTGTTGCTCGTGTACACAATTGTTCTTTAGCTTCGAAGCTCGACATTTTTCATATAGACAACATTTTGACATTGTTTTCTAGAATATGTTGGAAACCGTTGCCAACTCGGGTTTATTTACACAGCTGATGAGCACTATACTAATTTGCTTTGCATGCATGCTTAAGAACTAGAGGTGGGCGGGAGAGGGCTAAGGAAACTATTCCATCAAGTATTTGGTATCGCTGACCAGATCATCTTCGTCGAGTAGATCGCTGACGAGTCCGTACGGCACCTTGACATGTTGAGCGCTCTGAAATTCGCTATCGTCCAGCTCAGTATCATGGTAATCGGCCAGGTCCTGCTCGGTCTCATCCGCATCCTCATCGTTGAACATAAAATCATTGTTAACAATGCACTCCTCAAAGACCTTGGCCTGCTCCCCTCCCACCTGGTTAAGGGTGCTCATGGCACCGATGCCCACAGTGACAGGATCATCGTCGTAGTCATCGTCCTCATCAACATTGGCTAAGTCGTCGTGGCGATCATAGTGCATATGTTGCTTACGCTGCTGCTGTTGTAGCTGTTGTTTTTCTTGCTGCTGCTGCTGCTGTTGTTTTTGCTGTTGCTGCAGTTGTTGTTGCTGCTGCTGCTGTTTCTGCTGCTTGCGTGTGGGCAGCCGCTGTAACGTGGCCGTAGTCAGCTGCCCCACGTCCGGCTGGTTGCTGCGATGCTGCGCGAGATGCGTCGCCAGGTAACACTTTTTGGTGAATCCCTTGTCGCATTGGGTGCACTGGAATTGCTTTTTGCCCGTGTGCGTACGCCGATGCACGGAGAGCACATGGGCATAAGCAAATCCTTTGTTGCACACCTCACAGACATACGGACGTTCGCCGGTGTGGATCCGTTCGTGCTTTTTGCTGCTGCCAAAATCGGAGAAGCGCCGCTCGCAGTAATGACAGCCGTAGGGCTTCTGACCGGTATGCACACGCATATGCCGGCGCAGCTCCACGTTCGATATGAACGCCTTCTGGCACACCTCGCAGGGATAGGGACGCTCATTATTATGGCGCCGCATGTGAGCGTTTAACGCATGCTGATACTTGTACGTGTTGCCGCAGATGTCACAAATCTTGGGCTCTGTCGTGCGCCGACTTCGCGAGTTGACGCCGATATTGATAATGCTGCTGTTGTTGTTGATGTTGTTGTTGTTGTTGTTGACGGGAATACACGGCGTAGGCTGTGATTGCACACGCTCCTCAACGGGAAATTTGTAGTCCTCATCCTGCTCTTGCTCCAGCTCTTGCTCATGATCAAACTCCGGCTCCTGGTCTAGCTCCAGATCCGGCTCCGACTTGCAATGTCGCTGCTGCTCCGTTTGCTCATCAGACCAGTCAACGTCCAGTGCAATCATTTTGTCATCTTCATTGTCGGAGGCAACGGCTGTCATATCCTGCAGCACCAGCGTTGTAGCTCCATCGTCTGGCCGAATCAGTGTCAGTGTATCCACATCATCATCAACATCTTCATCAATATCATCATCATCATTATAATACTTAACTTTGCTGGTGGCCGCTTCAGTGTCGAGTCGTTTGATTTTGAGGCTGGGGGGCAACTTTAGGTGCTGCGTCTGCTCAAGCTCCAACTTGTCCACGTCCAGGAGAACTGTGGCTGTAGCTGCCGATTGGAATACCTTCTGTGCCTCCAGGCACTTCTGCTGGAAACGATATGTTATGCTCAGCTCGTTGCGGCATCCATGGCAGATCTTATCGGGCAATTGGGAGAGCAGCGGCCTGTCCAGTCGCAGCGCACTGCAACTGCGTATTTTATCCACAATTTGCATGTGCGGCGTCTCCAGATCCTGGCCATAGATGGAACAATATCCGGGCTCCGCGCGCAAGCATATTAGGCAGACAACGCCTAGATCCACCAGGTGTGATCCAGGGCCTAAATTACGCGGCATTTTTTACGGATTGTTTGTTATGAGTACTAAAAACAAAACTCCCCCACACTCGCACGCACACAGAAGCACACGCATATGCACACATACAAGTATAGATGCTATATTTTGTGTGTCTATTATGTGCGTGTTGCGCTTTTTTGTTGTTAGTTTCTGTCAAACGCTATCGATAGTTTGATAGTTTATTTGTTTAGTTTGGTGGACATTACATTAACCGCGACTGTAGATAATATGCATTAATAAATTGTTATATGTGACGTCAGTATTTTATTATATCAAAGTTTCATTAGTGGACAGTGGACATCTAAGAATAAATACACATTTTATATCAGCTTGGAATAGTTCCCAGAAAGTTCCCGTTCAATGTTCATCACTTTTTGTTAGGCTCAAGTAAACTATTATATAGTTTGCAAACTTTTTATGTTGTGACATTCATGACGCAGAAGAGGCGAACAAAACAAATATTCAACAATTGCAATTCAATCTTGTGATTTCGACCTTACTTGCTAGAGATGGGACGTAGCAATTGCCACTTCGCTTAAAGCTATTGTGAATTGCTATCGATAAACAAGGGAAAATTAAATTTTTTGAATGCGCACAGCTGGCGGCGAGATTTTTGACCGAAACAGAAAGCTTAATCTAGTTCATATTTAAATCAGTGAGCGTATCGGCTAGAACCGTAAATTCTTGAATATATTATTAAAAATCATAACTCTACCAAGGCGTTTCACATATCATCAATTCACTTATTATTGTATCGAGTTCACCGTTCGGACACATTCACTGTTAGATTGCATTTGTGTTTTTGTTAGTTTTCATTGTTTTTTTTTTTTTACTTTATTTACTTCGTACACTATTTTTTTATAACTGGCCGTACGGCGTAAACATGTCGCAAAATCCACTAACCGAGCTGACGCACCAACTAATTGACTACTTCGCCATTTACCCGGAGCATGAGGATGCTCGACGCATGCAGCGGTACGGCGAGCTCATACGCTATCATAATGAGAACCTGATCGAATTCGGAGATCTGAGCATAGCGGCAAGTTATATAAATTGGCATTGCTTTAGTCAGAAGCAGGGATTGCAGCTGCGCATGCAGTCCGAACAGATGCTGCCGGATGATGAGTCGCGCGAGGATCTGCTAGAGCAAAGCAAAAAGTGGATATTTCCGCTACAGAATGTGACGAAGCTGCGCAAAGAGCGATACGCGTTGCGTTTTTATCGTCCTCCCATCATTGCCCATGTGCTCAACTCAATACTGAAGCACGGCGAAAACTATGGACAGCACAAGAAGCTGGAAAAGAGTGCGGCTCTTATGCCCACACTGTGCCTGACCCTACACGAACAATTTTTGGATCCAGAGGTTGGAAACACCAAAGAGCTACACAAGTTCCGTGCCAGGCAGCTGTATCTGATTGTGTGTCGATTGCTGGCCTACGCCAACTGGCGCCTGGTGGAGCCACAGGACCAGACACCCGAGACCCTGCTGGTCAGCGTCGAGTGCAACAATCTACCGCGTCGCTTCGCCACCGATCAGATGGACAAGAAGAATGTGCGCATGGTGTGCGGCCCGGTACTCGAACCGACCAAGAAGACTGCCACAATGCTGACCAGCGGCAGCTACATGGCGTAAGCATGCCCAAGCGCAACCTAAGCTGCCCATCGGCTCAATTAAACATTATTTCTTTTATATGTACTGGCGGTGGCAGCCTGCGCTCCAACGATATGCTGCTCATAGCCATGCATCGACATGGCGTGCGCGACTGCGTCAAGGGCACTGACTTTGAGAGTCTGATGCAGCGTCTGGGTCATGCAGCCGTCATTGTGGATCTGTTTGAGGTGCGCCATGGCAGTGGCGCTACTGTGGTGCGAAATGGCTTGGGCAGCTCCAAGGGCGCCAACTATATATTGTACAATTCGGCACGTCTAGAAACACTCTTACGCACCTTTGGCGCTCAGGTGGATGCGGGTGTCTATGAGCCGCTGCCACCGTTAGAGAAAATCGATCTTAGTGTACTTGAAGATGAGGTGCGTTCGGCATTGCCTACACATATGTATTTTATCTATAATGTGCTTGTTTTTGCTTGCAGCTCGACTGGCAGCTAATCTATGGCTATTTGCTTACCTTCCCAGAGCTAGTTGAATCGACACTAGTCCAACTAGATCAGGGCTTGTGCGCCGTTCATCTACTCGTCCGTTATATTGTTGATTTGGCTAGCCTATTTAGCCGCTACTACCGCAACAAGCAAATACTCGTGCAGCAGCGCTCGAATCTGATGCCCGTTCTCTATGCCCGCATCTACCTGGTTAAGGCGGTGCGTGAGGTGCTGAATGCAGCATTGGCCCTGTTAGGAATACAGCCCGTAGACTATATGTAAGGGCCTACGAATGTATATTTAATGTTTTATGTATATTTAATGTACAAATATTTTTAAATTTAACAACAATATAAACTATGTATGGATAAGGCTTATGACTAAACTGGTGCTGCACTATGCAACCTCCATAAAATGTTCTTTACAAATAAATATTATCATTGGAAATGCCCTTGCAAGAAGCTAATTATTAGTATACAATGCGAATACGCATAATTATGTATAATTTATATGTATATGAAATGTGTACTCCGTTTGGGAATAATATCAGTGTCATAGATATAAGCAATAAGTATTTAAAAAAATGTCATTGCACTTTGTCAGAGTTTGTCATGGTGTTGAGTGGAAAAATGTCATGAGCTTAAGTTTAAATTTAGACAAGACTATGTTGCCGTGTTAGGCTTAGATTAATGTATAGCATACATAGGAACATTTGGCCAAAAATGTGTTACAAACTGCAATCCTATTTAAGAGCTTTTTGTGCTTATTTAAAACCAAATAAACCAAATAAACAATTATAAAACAGACATATCATTTCATACTGAGCTAAGTGTTTAAGTAGATGTCAACTTTGACGGAGAACCTAGGCTCTATGCTCTATTGCAAGGGCTTTCAACTTTCGGCATGCCGAATGTGTAACTACTTTCCTCTCACTCTGTCTCTCTCCCTCTCTCTTTCTGTGAGTATAGCTCTATTTCAGCATTTATAACGTATGTATTCATTTGGCATTTTCGCTGGCAACAAGTCTATTCACATACACACACATACACACAGAACACATACACACATTATTAGGAAACTTTAGGCATAATACTATGGTGGAACATGCCCACGTTGAGGTGGCGTCGACATCTCATCATCTGGTCTGTTGCTTCTGCCGATTGAACTCGGCGATGAACTCAACGTTCTGGCGATTGTTGAAGAACAGCTGCTCCATGAGACGGGTGCTGCCCAATGAGTTTGCCTTGGTGCCCAGGCACATGTTATACTGTGGTGCATCCAGCTGGACATCGCAGCTAATATCATGGTAGATGTGCACCAGAGTGGGATCTGGGGCGCGAAATACGGTGAGACGTCGCCACTGTTCAGCGGCCTCGTTATAGTCGAGCGGCACCTCGGCCGTGTTGGACAGAAAGCCATGTTGGCGGGTGCCGACGCGCACAATCTTCTCCAGGAACTTGACATCCTCCAGGCCCCAGCCAGTTATGTCCTTGTCAAAGCCATTGATATCATCGTCCAGTATGTCCGACTTGTAAATGGCACAAATTCCGAAGCCAAACTGCCTAAAGTAGCCGTTCTCATCGTCAATTGGCAACGATTCGGAAGCACTGACTTCTCCCCGACGCTTTGGATCATATTGACTAAATACAATGGGCAGATAGACCTGCCGACCACGCTGCGTATGCATGCGCACTCGCTGAAGCGTCTCCACGCCAAACACCATGTCGACATCGATGAACAGAATAATGTCCTCCTGCCGTATGTACGAGGAGCGTGCGGCAATGTCCAGTGCAACGCCGCGCGAGAATTGTCCACTGCGTTGTATATAGTTGATCTGCTTGTAGATATGGCGGGAACGCAGCTCATTCAGTTGCTGCAGATGATCGGTCAGCTCTTCCGGCGGCCCAAAAATTACCACCAGCAGATCGCAGTGTTGCGAAGCATCAATGCAAACACGCTCATAGGTGGCCAGAAAGCGTTGAAAGGTCGCCAGGCGACCGGCTATGGGCAGGACAAACACGATATTGTCCGGCGGAGGTGCCAGCAGGTTGCTGGCCATGGTAAAGTGACTGCTCAGGCGAGCCATACCATTGTGTAGGAGGCTACCCAACAGACCTGCAGATGACAAGGCTTGAATCAAATGAAGTTGAATTACTCAGCGGAATGAAATACTCCATTACTGCAGATTTCTCTTTTTTTTATCCCTAACTCAATCAAAAAGATTGAAAACTAACGAGGAGCCAAGTCGATCTAGCCTAATTTATAGCTTCCATACCATACGCAGAACGAGCTTATCATTTCTTGTTTCGATACATACTTTCATTTTGAAAATATTGAAAATCGATTTTGAAACTCGGTTTTATGCACAATTCGGAAATTATATCAGCTCTTATAACTCCAAACTGGCTGTGCAGAGTCTCGTATTATATATACTGATCTAAAATATTTAACTTTTTTGGTAAATCCCCTTTTTCCATCAAATCGGAAAAAAATACTCATTTTAAAGGCCTTGCGATTTGGTATATGCACACACACATTTTTGCCATGTTAATGCCCAGAAAAATCGGACAATAAGCACCGACTGCTATCTGGAAAGCATTTTCCATAGGCCGTTGCATAATGTGCTTAGCTTGCGACGAGTCCGTCAGTGTGTAGAAACAAGAACGGCAGCTCGATGATGCTGGACTTGGTATTCGGACACTCTTAGCTTGTTAATTCCAGAAATATGTGCTCGGATATTAGCCATACTCACTTTGTTGCAGCGTTACATTGTAGAAATCCTCGTCCAACTCCTTGACAAAGATGCCGGTGAATGCGCGTTGTACATAGAGATGACGACGCACGGGCACCGTCATCTTCTTGCCACGATACTTTTTGTAGATGAGCAACAGATCCAGTATAAGATCCTGTCCATGTATTGCGTCCAGCCGATGGTAGCCATAGAGCAGCTCACGAAACTCAATAACGCGTCCGCGTTGTCGCGAATAATAATTGATATTTTCCATCACCTCGGTTATGACATCCTCGAGACCCTCGCGCATGGCCGAGTCAATCTTCTGCTTGGGATTCGCTGAGCCTGCCGAGTACAGGCTGCGCGCTATAAAGGACCAATCCAGAAGATCCGCTGTGCTAGCGGGCACAAATTTATTTAGCTCCGGACTAATGCCTGTGAACAACAATCGATAACATGAATTCAAAGTCGATAACTTATGGCACGAGTTTCGATACAACAAAATTATCGATATTTATAGATTGCCGTTACATGCAATTTAAATTTAATTTGATATTTGTGTGTTTCTTGATGCGGACACTATTGGAAGGCAATATGGAACACAGAGGCACAGCATAGACAATAAATCAAGCAAAGCTGTGTGTGTAGAATGGAATATGGAATATTTTCGACATTTCCATTTAGATTTCTATTATAAAAACTTAGCTCGATATTTATGTGAAGCATGTGGCTCGCAAACTTGCCCCGCCTGGCGCTTCTCCTGTCGCTGTTCTTAAGCATCGCATTGGTTAATGCCAGCGAGAAGGAAATCGAACCCATTGAGAATGAGCGCAATGCCAGCTATTGGATGGAGCAGGCGCAGCGGCAGCTGGCTGAGCGCCTGGAACGTAGCCGCGAGGCGGGTGGAGGCGATACGCGTGTGGCCAAAAACGTAATAATGTTATTGGGAGACGGGCTGTCCATTACTACACTCACCGCGGCGCGCATCCTAAAGGGCCAGCATGCCGGTCGCAGCGGCGAGGAGTGCCAACTGGCCGTGGAACAATTTCCCTATTCTGGTCTGAGCAAAACCTACTGTACGGACAGCCAGACAGCGGATTCGGCATGCGCAGCGACCGCATGCCTAACTGGGGTGAAGACCAACTATGGCAGCATTGGACAAAGTGCGCAGGGTGCCAAGGTGGAGTCCATCGTACATTGGGCTCAAGAAGCGGGCAAGGCCACAGGGATTGTGACCACCACGCGGCTGACAGATGCGAGTCCGGCAGCTGCGTATGCGCATGTGAAGAGACGTTCCCAGGAGTTGGACATAGGACGCCAGCTGATTGAGGATGCACCGGGACGCTATCTAGATGTAATACTGGGCGGCGGTCTGGGTAAATTTGCCAGCGAGCGCACCGATGGACGAGATTTACTTAAACAATGGCACGCTGCGAATCCGGACGGCTGTTTTGCCCGCACGCTGGGTGGACTGCGCGACTGCGGCGCCACGAATGGCAGCCTATTGGGCGTGTTCAGTGACAGTCATATGGCCTACCATTTGGCGGCGTCCAAGGATCAGCCGCGTCTCTGTGATATGACAGAAGCGGCCATTAAACGGCTAGAGCAGCAGACGAACGGCTACTTTGTGTTTATCGAGGGAGGACGAATCGATCATGGACATCATGAAACGCGGGCAGGCTATGCGCTGGACGAGATGCTTGAGCTAGATGCGGCCATTGAGACGGCTGTGCGTCTGACCAATGCACGCGATACGCTCATTGTCGTCACGGCGGATCACTCGCATACGCTGAGCATGGCGGGTTACGCCAATCGCGGCACAGCAATACTGGGCTTGGATCCAAGCCAACGCGACTTGGATGGCATACCCTATAGTACGCTTAACTATGCCATTGGCAAGTGGCAGAGCCTCAACAAGGCCGGCAAACGCGAGAATCCCGCACCGCATCTAAGCAGAAGTGAGTAACGCTGTCTCCTTTCAACGGACACAAACATATATTTTTGTCTCGCCTTAGCTTCCTTTACGCCCAGTTATATACACGCCAAGGGGGTGCATTCGGGCGAAGATGTGGCCGTCTTTGCCCTTGGTCCACAGGCTCATCTCTTTAGCGGCGTCATGGAGCAGAATCTGTTGCCACATCTGATGGCCTATGCAGCCTGTCTGGGCCAGGGCACCACTGTCTGCCAACAAAACTCCTAGGAGTACGCGCGCGCGCACACACACTCACACACACACACACAAGCATGTTAGTTTAACTTTTACAATGTAAAATTTTTGTTTCGTGTTAATTCAAATAAAACGTTTTGAAATCAATCTTTACATTTGATCAATAGTTCCGGCACCATTCTGAGCTCTGTTCCGATCATTCTGATCGCATCTCGTTTCAAAACAAAACTGACACGGATTTTGAAAATTTAAATGCCGATCTTTCCGGTTGGAAAACATGAAGGAAATCATTAAACTGGACTCACCTAGAATATTATGATCTTCGAAATGTCGTTTGCCATTGTCCTTGTCGGGAACGGCGCCTGGTGAGACGCTTGGCACCATATATGTGCTATCATCAGGCACTTCCAAGTATTTGGCCATACGCTTAATGTCGCGATGCAGCAGCAGCGATTCCTGGCGCAGTTCCTCGGCCTTGAGGCCCTGTATATAGGAGTGCAGGCGATACATCAGCGGTGCCTGCTTGATTGGATGCAGCGTGATGGCGTTATGTATCTCCTTTCGCTTCAATTTACCGGTGTACGCATTGCGTCCGCTCGAGTTGTGCCGCAATATATACTGCATCTGCATCAAGAGAGTAAAAAGTTGAACGTATAGAAAGGAGGGATGGTGCATCGAGAAGCCTTGATCACTCACCTCGTAGTTCCAAGTGCAGGGTATGCCGGCAAATTTCTGAACGCAACGCCCCACCTCAACATCCTCGTGGGTGCTGTATAGATTTTTCAGGCAGGTGGGTATGTGCGGAGCGACGCGACGCAGCGTCTCGCTACTGAGTATAACACCGGGACCGCCCATGCAAAAGTTCTCATCGAACTCTAGGGACAACAGTCCAAACTCCTCGCTATTGCCCTTGCCCGCCTGGCCAATGAACTGCGGCTTCGAGCTGTCGATGGAGCGCAGAAAACGCTCCAGCTTGTCTGGCTCCATATAGACATCATCGTCGGCGCGAATGAACCACTCGAACCGATCGATATAATGCTCGTACATGTAGTAAAGCATCATGAATGACTTCTTTTGCGGCGGATAGCGATCATCGACATTCTTGAGGCCCACCACGGGCAGCTCCTCCGAGTAGCTGCCCTCAGAGCTGAAGAACGCAATGCGTCCGGGCACCTCCTTGCCCCAGGTATCGTATACGGCACGTGCACGACCCTCAATAAAATTCTTGGCAGTCATGACGCCCACAAAGACCAGATTGCGCTGCGAATTCTGTATGGTGTCCTCATCGTTCAGCCCAATAATTTCATTGGGCGATTTAAGATTCGTGGGCCGCAAGCTGCAGCGCTTTACAATCTCCAGTGCACGGTAGTTCTTCAGAACGGTGCCGATGCAGAGGCCCAGCGCAATGCCAAAGCAGGCAATGATTAGCGTTTTACGCTTCGTCATCGTGTGCTGCAGCATCGTGTGCTCCACGCTTGCTGTACGAGGGAGGAGTCCACAGTTCACCTAACGTACATGGGGGCGCTGCTGGGCTAGGGGCGAGAAGTAAAACAAAAGAAACGTCAAGTGATTGCAATTTAAATTTAATCTGATTTGATCGCTTTTACTGGCGCGTGTCAAATCTAAAATTGTAATAAGCCCCCATTAGCATTAGTAGGTCTATATTGAACTTCAAATACCCTTTCAAATGTGTGAGACCTTGTACATAAGGTACAATAGAAAGTTACTTTCGGTGTATAGTTCGGAGATATGATATATTGGCACTAAAGGATTCGCGCACAAAATACATAATAGGTCAACTTTCTGTCTTTAACAGTTGCAATTTTCAATTAAGTATTATTTAATAAAATAATACTTTATTTGTAGCAACTTTTAACAATCACAAAAGCGCTCAAATACCCACAACTTGTCTATGCATTCGCCATATACATATTACTGATGGGTTTGAACCAACGAACTGTCACTTGTTTGTCCGACGCTCAGTCATTTAAGCCACACAGGCTCATAACGGTTCTCAGGGCACATTCATATCGCACTATGATTAACCATGTAGGGTTAACAGTCCTTGTGCTCAACTTAGACCCAAAAGGAAGCTTGATTCAAAATTTAAGCTTCGTAGCTCTTACGGTTTGGTTAATTACCAGTCAGCCAGGCCAAAATACAAATATAGATTAATAAACTTTGCTGAACCTTCAAGGCATATGTGTTACAATCTTTATCAGCTCATTAAGCTCTTATGTTGTGCTCTATAGTTGAATCTGATATAACTTCTTATCGAGTCAAGTTCCAATCTCAATGTTGGATATAGTAAAATATCTATGATAGACTATTATAAGTTGGGTATATGTGCAAACTGAATCACAGTGCCTAAGAAACTGTTTAATGTTAGAGCATAGATATTGTAATTTCTTAAATGATCTTTAAATTTGAGTATTGCTCATGCAAGGTGTTCTTGGAATTGTTTGCCATACTGGCACAGAAAAAAAACCACACACACGCATTTGAAATGTCTATTTGGATAAGCTAAACAGTTTCGTGGTTTTAGTGCACTTGGATCGGATAATGTGTCCGGCCACTTCACTGGCACATAAACTGGCGGCGGGCAGTAAACAGAGAACAACAGATACTCAGATACAAATACAGATACTTAGATACTTAGATACTCAGTTACTTGAGCCCAAGATTGAGGAGCTCAGATTGAAAATAAACGACAGCTGGCTGGCTGGCATATAATTTTAGATGCCTAGCTTGGTGCAACAAATAAATTGGACATTGTACGAACATCAATTGGATTGTGCCCGTAAAGATGAGCATATGGCGACACGTGTACGTGTATGGGGCGGAGAGAGAAGAGGCGGCGGAAGGGGGCTACACCTTAAAAAGCATCTATGATTTTTGTTCGCCTAATGTTTGCCCGACCTCACTCTGGGTACACCTCCTGCCGCTTTGCCTTGTCCGCACATAAATGCTAATTAAATAAACAAACAGCTCAGAAAACTATTTGGTCTACAAAAAGCTGACGAGCTGCGCTGCGTTGCGTTGCGTTCCATTCGTTTCGACTTTGATCGTTTCGAGTTGGGTGTGCGTTGGGTTCTTGCCTTGCTTTGGACTGGATTGGATTGTGTTGAGTTTGTTTAGTTAGCAATTTGAATATTTTTTAAATATACGCATACGTATTTTGCACGCTTTCTGGCCTAATGGCCTTCACTCACCTGTACGCGCTCTCTCTCTCTCTCTCCCTCCCTCTCCCTCTCTGTCTGGCCCCTTCCCTAAAAAACTCTCTCCTGCATTCTCTGTGTTTCTGACTCACCTTTGCAATGCGTGTTGACATTCATGCGGTCAGTTTCTGTTTAAATACTATTAACTCCTAACGATGTATCTCAATTATGCAACTGGCATTCGCTGGATATCTCGGACATTGGCTTTATCGCAGATAATAGCTCAATTTCATTAAATGTGTGTATGTGTGTGTGTCTTTTTTATTCATTTATTTGATCTATTGATTTTCGAATAACATTTGACACCGTAAAATCAATAAACAAACAGACATGGAAGAATTAGTATAATAAATTATTGTTACTTTCGAAAGAATTGCCAAAAAAAAAAAAAAAACAATCTGAGCCATGCCTTAAAGATACACGGCTTAGCTCGAAGCATTTTTTAAATCTAATTTGAGTTTTATAAGGTTTTAGGTACTTTGGATTTAGAAAATATTGACGAACTCAAATATGTAAATAAAATAAACTATATTGTTTTATTAGAAAACAGAGACGAGCCTAGATTGAAATGCTAGGGAAGAATGCAAGGACGAGACATTAGTTCGAGTCCTGAACCAAACCTTTATATGTGTATATATATATATATATATATATATATTAATTTTGTTATGGAGCTGGACTTGTAATGTATTTGATTAGTCTTGCCTGCAACTAAAGCTCCATGTATTATTTATCTTCGAGAAGATCTAGAATATTTATATATATAGAATTTACAAATGCCGAATGAAATCGGCCTATAGACAATTTTTAATAGAACATATAATAAATTGTATTAAATTATCTGCAACTAAGGCTGCAAACCAATTTTGACCAATTTATTTTCTTCTACAAACCAAACTTTGAACCAAACGAGTTGTCAAATAGACAAACAGCTGAACCTTAACCTGAACAAAATGATATTTTCAGGTTCGAATTTAAACAACATTTGGGGGGATACGAAACGGAAAAGATTAGCAAATGCCAGATTTTGGGTAGTAAACAAATTTAGCCTGCAATTTATATATGAAAATACATACGGCTCAAAATTGGAAACTAAATGACATCACGAAGCAAACCTCAAGTCAGGGAGTTGGTTCGAGCTATGAAGAAAGGCGCCCCTTTCTTGTTTAGTTAGCAGCCCTGTTTTGAATATTTAGTATGGAAAACTAGGGCTTCGGTAAATTGGAAGACAACAAACACAACTGAATCCGAGCCCAATGTGCGAGCGAGCACTGTATCTTAGCTGGTCTGCGCAATGGCTTTGATCCCGTTAATGCCCAGAGGTTTCTTTAGAGCCCAGTGCAAACAGAGCTCCTTTAACAGCACTTGCATACCTGTTGCTAAAGTCAGTGGCCTGTAGGTGTGTGTTAAGGTGTTGTTGTCTGCAACTTCGCCTATGCGAGATGCTTTATGCAGCGCCAGCAGATTTCGGTGTGGTGCGTTGTTGTCGGTTGTCGTTTGTCGGTTGAAGGTTGATAATTTTGCACAATTCGCACGCGAAAGTCGAGACATAGACAGAGACGGACGGCACCAGAAAAGGAGCGACGACCGGACGGATAAGCAAGTGTCTCTGTCAACGTCTCTGACTCTGTGGCAGTGTCAGTGTCGCGTTGCGTCGCAGTCGCGTCAAGCGCGACTGTGTCTGTCTGTCTGCCTGTCTGGAGGAGGAGGAGGAGGAGGCGGTGACGGCGCTGGGCAGGAAATGCGAGACTTTGAGACACACACACACACGCACGCACACACAGAGAGAGGCGCGCGCGAAACGCGAGCAAAATTATGAATCCAAAGCAATTCGAAAATGTTTTTGCAGGCCAAACAGTTTGATATGTCGAACAATTTGCAACTGGCAAACACATCAACAACAACAACAGTAACAACAACAACAGCAACAACAAAAACAATAGCAGCAGCAACAGTTGTTCAACTGTTGACAATTAGACGGCGTTGGGGCAATTAATGTGCTGGGCTTTCAACTTGAACCGATGCAAAGACAACACACACATTCGCACAATCACATACACACACACACACACACACACACACATTTGCACAGTTAGTGAAACATGCGCTGTTTAATTATTTTTAGCTGTTGTTGTTGCTTTTCTTGCTTTTATTGCCGCTCTTACGACGTTAAGTTCGCAAAGGTCGATCCAAAAAACTTGCCTACATATAGCAACAGCTTGTTATGTGCACATTTCATTATTTTGCCATTTACTTAAATTAATATACATACATACATATGTATATGTATATGTAAAATTTATTAAATTTTTTCATTTTTTAATTTCACTTTTGTTTTTTTTTTTGCAGAATTTTAACAATTACCAAAAAGAAAACGTAATTTTTGTGGCTCGTTGGTACGTTTTGGTGCTTGGTGGTTGCTCACTGCGCTCAACGTGTGTGTATGTGTGTGTGGACGTGTGTGCGTGTTTGCAACAAGAACAAACGTCAAAAAACGCTGAATTCCGTTGAAGAACTAACCGAACGAGAGGGCTGAGTCGGCGCCCGGTGTTCCGATGGCCCAACTTGGCCGCAGAGCGATCCACTGAGAGAGCCGCAGAGAGAAATCGACCGCGCGAGAGAGACAGAGCGAGAGACATACATATCTACATGACAGACCGGCACTGCTACCTTTGCTGCATAGTAACTCTCAGACGCGCCACACTCACTAGCTGTATGTACGTGTGTGTGTGTGTGTGTGAGTGTTTGCCTGCGTGTAGCTGTGAGAGATCTGCGTAGCTGATAGCAACAGTCGGTCGAGGGAGCGCGCTACAAACACCACTTCACTCTTTTCCAACGTCCCTGCCGCTGCTGCCCGCTGCGCGACCGAGTGTCTTGTGGTGCTTACGTCGATGCGAAATGGTCATACGCAACATGTGGCTCAATCTGAATCAGAAGCAGGTCCGAATCATTCGTCTGTCTCTGTTTATAGTTCGCAGAATCAGCCACAAATCATTAAAAGTGGCATCAAGTTGAACAAAAAAAAAAAAAAAATGTTCAAACCTTGATAAGGGGATACAAATATAGGCGCTATTCGCCCATCAATTTGAATTTGAATTTTCAATTGCTGATAAGCTGCTAGTAATTAGAGCATCGATTGATGCCCCATATGCTGCAGGTGGCAAATTGATTGGCTTGGGAATTCGTAAAATATTTCAAGCCTTACGGATTTTAAGAAACAATTGGACTTACAATTTATGTACATATATACAGGCAAAGCTCTAATAATGGACAGCTTGGACACCGAAGGTGTTTGCTCAATGAAGTTTTCACATTCCATTATAGTTGTCTTATTGATCTTCATATTGCAATATATTGCATAATGTACTTCAAGTGCATGTCCTACAGGGTGTAAATTAGTTTCAAACAGTCTTTTTTTAAAGGTTTGAGTCTGGGCTACTCAGGAGAAATATATGAAAAACTAGCAGCCTTTTGGGCTTAGCCCTGAACAGAGTCATTGAAAAATTGAAAAATGTTCGTGACAATTGAAAACTTAATTTTCCAGTAGTTAAGCTATTTAAAACAAAAACATAAAAATTGCAAGCAATATTGCAAGAATATATCTGTTCTTGGTGTTGCCAGACTTTTTGGAGTGCAGATGTTAAATGGCAGCTCTGAAAAGCAACGGTTAATTTCTTAAATATGGAAAAAATGTGTTCACGTGTTACTTGTTAATTTTGTAATATCTACTTTGTGTAAAAAATTGAAACGAAATTGAGAAAAAAAAACATGAAATTGGTGCTGTGCCTGCTATTGTATGCGACTTGCAGCCGTAATGGCGAAGCCAACAATACCACCAAGCCTCTCCCCGCCACGTCGGTTCAACGCGCTGAGGTGGAAAAGTTGCGCAGTGAACTCAACGCCGCATTTGATGCGGGCGAAGAGACGCCCGTAAGTAGCAGATCCAAGCAATGAGCATTATTGACCATTTGTGAATACCTTACAGGAGGGCGTCATAGTGCAGCCGGAGTGGACCAAGCACGGCAGCAAGCCCAGTGTCAGTGGCAAGCCCAGCAAAGTTATAGTCAACGAAGCGTCACTAAGAGCAGCGGAGGCGCTCCGCACTGAGATAAATGACGCAGTCGCCAAGCAGGGGCACACAGAGGAAGTGCGTCAGCTAGAGGCGGCCGTTAAAGCCAAAGCAGGCGGAACACAGAATGAAGCAATTGTGGGCAGTACGCGCGATGAGATGCTGGGCAGCAGTCAGCCGGATCAAGCTGATCAGGCGAATGTTGTTGATGCCACACCGATGGACATTGATCTGAAGCAGTTACAGCAACTGCAACTGTCCAAGCGGCGGACGCGCGAAATGCTTGTGCTGAGTCGCATCGAGGAAAACCTACAGTTTATGTTAGGAGCAGATGTGTCGCATTGGCTGCAGCTGCAGCAGAATGGTAGCGTCTATTTCCTGGGTCGACGCAGCCATGATTTGTTGCTATTGGAGCAACAAGCTCTTATTTCTGGTGCCAATTTTCACAGCTATGCAGCGCTACAACCATTGTCCGTGCCGGCGGGCATTGATGCGATACTTAGCTACGAGCGCTGGAATCGGCAGGCACAATTGCAGGAGAGTGTGGTGCTGCTGGCCACGCAACAGCAGTTGCTGTGGTATCGCTTGGAGGCGAATAGCGGCCTGAAACAGTTCTGGCACTGGCCGCTGGGCAGCGACATTGATAAGCTGTTGGCGTTCGTTGTGGAGAACCGTGAGTATCTGGTCCTGATGCACAATCGTACGCTCAGCATTTATGCCCATGATGTGGATGGCCTGGAATTCTGGATTGTGCAGCGTCTGCAGTTGGAGCAGAGGATTACGGCGCTGGCCGTGCAGGACACGGGTCGGGATCTACTGCTAGCCGTAGGTCAGTCTGATGAGGCGCTCATCTATGCACATAATATGCGTGAGCTGGCGCTGGATGCGGGCCTGCAGCTGCAGCTGCGGCAACGGCTGGAAGCACCAAAGATCGCTGACATAGCCGCTTTCCAAATGGGCGGTCGCAACTACCTGGCTTTGGGCGGTCTGCGGCCACAGATACTCGCCTATGTGCAGGGCCAGCTGGTGCCTAGAACTCTTCTCGGACAAAACTTTGGTCTGGTCGAGCTATTTTTGCCTGTACCCGTGCGAAGCTATCGGGATGATCTGTTGCTGCTTGTGCAGCATCGCGTTTACTTCGACACGCACACACTGCTCCAGTTGGAGGTGCTCGTCTGGAATGGCGAGGCTTTCGAGGCTAGCTTGCCGGCGCCGTGTGAGCTCGGCACCCAGACACGTTACGGCGCCGGCTGCATGCTGGACGAGCAGCGTGAGGCGGGCTTGGCAGGAGCCGCGCTGTTGCGTCAGATGCAGCCACCGCTGTTGCTTGTGCCTCGCCAAGCGGCACCTTCAGGCCTGTTTCGACTACACACACAGCTGCTGCCGCGCAACTCGGAGCTGCACGATCTTCAGGATATACACGACTTTATGCGCAATTGGGTAGATGAGCAGGATAAGCTTATTAAGCGGGCCGAGCAGCTGCTCCAAGCACCAGAAGCGGAATTTGTTCACTATGAGGAGCTAGACACACCGTTGCTCATCAATGACGGGGCCATCTTGGAGGGACTGCACGTAAATGATGCACCTTGGACGGCGCATGATGCTGCCAAAGATCTGCACGAGCTGCTGCAGCAAATCCGTTTGCTAAAGCAAGAACTCTTAGGTCTGGGCGGCGGACGCACCAAGCGCCAGCCACAACTCTTTCGTTATGACTATGAGCAGCTGGAATTTGATGTTGTTGAGGTGCAGGAGTTGCACATCGAGCAGCTGAACCATGCGCCATTCTACGTACAGAATGCCACATTGCAGTTCAACGGTTTGATCAATGCGCAGAGCCTGGAGGTGATGCGGCCGCAGCCAATTGAGCAAGCCAAATCCTTACCCTCAAGAACGCAACAGCGCCTGGAATTGGACGCCGATCTAAGCTGCGAATTTATCAATGGCTTGGCGTGGACACAATTCTTGCAGCAGTTGGTCTGGCGTCAGGAGCCGCTGCAGCTATCGCAGCTGCGTGTGGCAGGCGTAAGTTGAGCCTAGTTTGGCAATCGTAGCTGTAATCTTTAATCTTGCCCATTACAGGCTGTTGTCTTTGAGGATTCGCTGCATTTGAGCGCGCTTAATGAGCTGAGTTTTCCTGACGACTATCTCTGGTCTCAGGAGAGCTCCACAAGCATTGTTTTCTCACCCAAACAGTTTACCCAGACGCTGTGTAGGTTATGCAACTAGCTGTTGTCTGGCCAGACTCATGCAAATCTCCTTTTTTTTAGCTGCGAATATGGTGGACACTTTTGGCGCTATCAATGGTTGCGATCCCGCGGATGCGGTTACACTAAGCGATGAACAGGACTGGCCGGGTTGGGTCACCTTCTCACAGCTGGAAGTGTCCGAGGGGCTAGAGGTGCTTACATTGGCAATCACACTTTAAGCAGAATTGTTAATCATTGTTGTTTCACTTGGCAGCTAAATGGCAGCGCACAAGGACGTCAGTTTGAGGAGGCGCCTTTAAATCCCACGCTGACCGATTCGCATCACGTTCATGCCGCCTGTCACTTTTCCAAACTAATTGTCAATGGGCCGCTGCAGCTGCGTGGATTGCTGGATAACAGCAGTTTCGATGCGCTGCTGGGTGACCTTGTACAGCGACCGGTTGATGCCAAGGAGGAGCTGATCATACCAGCAGCCAAGCATGTGCAGCACCTGGTGTTGCCAGTGGATGCTCATGTGCTGGATGGCACACTAAGCGGCATTCCTATTGAACAGTTTGTGGCCAAGCATACGGAACAAACGCTGCACAATCTGAGCAGTCTAGCGGGTTATGTGTACTTCCATAAACTACAGCTTAGCGGTGTCTACGATGGCGTCCAGCTGGAGCAGCTGCTAGCTCAGGCGTTGCGTGTGGATGCACCTCTCGTGGCACCCACTACGCGACTACATTTCGTCAACGAGCCGCAACTGGCAGAGCTTCAGGTGTCCCATATGCTGAACGATGTGCCGCTCTCCAGCGGATATCAGACGCTATACGAGCCACTGCATCTAAGTCAGGCGCGTTTTACGCGCCTCCAGGCGGAGCAACTGGATGTAACGCATAACGTGACGGGTCCAGGTCACCTAAATGGATATCAACTCAGCGAGCTACTTTCGAGTGAGCCGCGCAGGGACACAGTGCAGGTGCAGGATTTGATTTTGCCTATGGGCGTGCAGGCGTCCAAGCTGCAGGGCATCAATGCCGAACTGCTTCTGGGGTTTCTGCGACAGTTGGATGAGCTGCCGCTGCTTATTCTCCATGGACAGCTGCAAGTGGAGCATATTGCAGTCAGTGGCGCGGTGCTGGTTGATGACACTCTTAACGGACAGAATATGGACCAGCTGCAGCGTGACGTTGTCTGGCTTGATCGGCCCAATGAGCTGCGCACACGCTGGCGTTTCCAACAAGCGCCCATATTTGCCAGCGATCTGTTGCTCCAGGGCAGTTACAACGAGCGCTTGTTACCCGAACTGCTGGACGATATTGTATTTCGCCCTGACCAAGATCAAGAGCTGCTCATTGTTGGCACCAAGAGCTTTGCGGGCCATGTGCAGATCCTCGACACTCTGCAGCTGCAGGCACTAAACGGTGTGCCCTTCGATCGACTGGCCAATAAGCTGCAACCGCTGGACTTTCCCGGTGAGCTGCGTCTGGAGGGTCGGCTGCATGTCACTCACTTGCAGCTGGAGGGCACACTCAACGGCCAAGCAATTGGACAGCTGGATAAGCAGCTGCGCTGGGATACCAAGCTGGGTGCCTTTGTGCAGCGTGGTTTAGTACATTTAGCGGACCAAACGCAGCTGCAAGAGCTTACGGTCTTGGGTCATCTGGGCAATCGCAGTCTGGAGCCGCTGCAGGAGTTCTATGATGATTTGCTCGACAAGCGACGTCCACAATTGTATGTTGAGGGACACAAGGTATTCACGGGTCGCGTGAGCATTCGTGGTGGAGCTCACATTGTCCATCTAAATGACATTAATCTGGAGCAGCTGATGCAGCAGCTCATCTTCATCGATGGCAGCATGGAACACAACGAGGTAACTCTGCACACACCGGTGCACTTTGAAGCAGCTGTGCAAATGCAGCAGCTGCATGTGGATCAACTGGTGCTGCAAGGTGAACGCCTCAATGACTGCAATATTACCGAATGGATGTACGACACGCTGCGCGTGGATCGCGACTGGCAAACAGAAAGTAAGTTTCCTATAATACGATATCTATACAGGGTCTGTATTACAGACCAATATTATACAATCTAAATCCAATCTTGCAGTGCCCGTTAGCTTTGCTCAGGGCTCACTGGACAACAACGCCCTGCGGATTGGCCAGCTGAACGAGTTAAACCTGACACGTGTCGTTACGCTGCATACGGAGCAAAATCTCAGCTTTCCATTGGTCGCTAACGAGCTGCATTTGGCTGATGGGCGAGTACAGCTGCATGGGCTGGTGAATGGACGCAATCTATCGGAGGAATATGCCAATACCTTGCTGGTGGGTGTTATCTGATATCTCTATTGAGAAATTCATGTTTGTCGAACTGTGGCTATGCATCAAAAGCGGATGCTCCGTTGATTCGAGCTTTTGAAGGTCGGAAGTTCGATTGAATTAACGAAAACGCGTTTCGGCTGACGCGATACAGGGCTCAATTAAGAGTCAAAAGGATGGGATTATTTTTTGATATAGCCGATATTAAATTTATGCTCCATCTTTAAATTTATTATTTTTTTAATGTCCACTCATTTTTCAGATAAATGCGCCAAAGGAACAACGCGTGTTCACGCCGCTGCTGATGCAGTCAGTGGATGTGAGTGGGACACTGTTGGCCACTGCACCCATTAACGGTGATCCCAACCTCAACTTAAGCGATGTGGCCACGCTGCACGAGGAACAGCTGCGTCTGCAGACGCCGCTTAACTTTGCCAGGTTGCATGCGCCGGAGCTGCGAACACGACTGCACATCAATGGCTTCAACTTCAGTGCCTGGCACGAGAAGAGTCTCTGGGCGCAAGGTCGAGCGACCCAAATCATAAGCGGGAACTGGAACGTGCGCTGGCTGCGCGTTAAGCAGCCCCAGCCCCCAGAGCATCGTGCTCATGAGATCTACCGGCGCCAGAGCAACGCGTTAGCGTTGCGCTATCGAGAGCTGTGCACGCGGCTGGCTAGGCTCTTTGGTCTGCTGCGTCTGCCCTACCAAGTGAAGCAGCTGCGCCGCAGCTTCGCGCTGAAGCAGGCTCCAGGTGAATCGGATGTGCGTCGCGTTTTTGCGCTGCAGTTGCCGGCGCCGGCTGCTAGCTATCTGTTGATCAACGAGCTGGGCTGCTGGACGCGCATCTATCGCTGGAACGGCACGCACTATACGAGTGCTGGCAGAATCGAGAGCGGACCCATTAATGATGCCACTGTGCTGCATCAGCGCAACGCCAGCGCCAACAACAATGACCAGTTCAGCTTCATGACCAGCTACGAGCTAAGCGATGAGCAGGAGGAAGGGGGCTGGAACTGTAGCAGCCTGGCCCATCTGCAAAGCTGGCGCACGAGCGCCAAGACTGAAATTGAGCCAATGGATGTGCCAGCTAGCAAGCTGCAGCAACTGCAGCAAAAACATGAGGCGCAACAGCTGCAGCGTAATAAACCAAGCTATCAGGAGGCCATCAAGTACTTGAGCCGGCCGAGCACTGAGTCACAGTTGCGTCCACATCTTGATGCGGGTCACACCCTGAGTCAGGAACAGTACGAGACATTGCGCCAGCGCCTGCTGCAGCATCTCAGCTTTCGTCTACAGACCGAGGTGAACATCACGCAGCTTAGCATTCCTGAGAGCGATCTCTATGACGACGAGCATCTTGTGGAGGACTTCTTACGTCTGATGCGGCAACTGCGCAGTGCTTCGCCATCTGGTACTGGGGTGTTTGCATCTTTGCCCACGGACACACTGCCGTTACCGAATAATCCGTCGCGCGTGTTGGCCGCGCGCAGTGCTCAACTTATTTGGCCAGTGCTGGAGGAGCTAAAGGCGCTGCATGGACGGCTTTCGTACAACGATAGCCAATCACATGAGCAGCAGCGTGTGCTGGTGCTTCAACTAGAGCACACTTTGCGTGACGTGTTGCTCCTGGCCAACAGCAATGGCAGAGATGAAGAAATTGTCGATACAGATGATGATACGAAGCGCCTACACGCTGTGATTGAGCGATTGCGTGAGTTGCAACAGGAGCTGGAGGAAGCGCAGCAGTTGGACCTAAACTCAGCTGAGGCGCGCAGCATCCTATCCATGGAATTGCCCCCTCCGAAGCAACAATGGTTGCCCGTAGAAACAATACGTCTGTATGTGGGTCGTATGCAGCACGCCCAGCTGCTCTATGCCCGTCTGACCATTGTCGCTTCAAATGTGCCGCCCATTGCCCCATCGACAGCGCCGGCCGCTCACATCCAGCTGCATCATGCCAATGGCACCCTCTTCCAGTCACTGGCTGCCGATCATTTGGCGCGCCAGCTAACAGCCTTGCGCGTGCGGGACGAAACCCTGCTGGCTTTTGTCGAGAGTTGCTGCCGTGTGCGCGTCTTCATTTATCGCGGTATTCAGGGCTTTGTGCCATTCACGCAATTTCACATTGAAGAGAATGGCGAGATGGAGCAGCCATATGCACTTCAATTGCTGGCGCTACGTCTACCATTACAGCGATCGCCGGGCGCGCTCTATATGCTGGCCGTGGTTCAGTCTCGCCGTGTAACCTTTTATGAGCTGGTTATGCCCGGATTCTTTGAGCCTTGGCTACATTGTTAATAGGTTTAAGAACTAATGTGTAATTTGATTTGTTGTTTATGTATTTTTAAGTGTATTGCAATTATAATTAAATATATTAATATATGTTCCGAAAAATCATACAAAGTGATATGTGAATATTAAGCACTCACGTTCAAGAAATCGAAAACAAATACGTGTTAAGAAGCTGAAATGTATTTAAATAAATAAATACAAATTTAGATATTTAACCCAAAGATTTAGCATATGCAAGTCGGTTATAGGTACATAAAACTGACGTCACTTATCGAACCTTTCTTGGTAATCTACAATAGTGAAATAAGAAATTGTTTATATGAAACCAAAATGCCCACATACAAGTTTTTTCAACATTTCCCTCTCCTCTTGGTAGAGTAGGCACCAAGCTTTAGCGCCTAGCTTGACGGCTGTTTGCAAATCAAGATCACTGTTGCGTTTCCGGAACTCCCGAATAAAATGACGAAACGCGTTATTTGAGCAATGTGATAAATGCATGTTCTTTCCCTTTGTTTTTGAATTGATTGCCTTCTGCGATTTGCGTGAAGTGGTAATTTTTGTTTTTGCCGCAATTGGTTTTTTTTTCGGTTTCGGTTTTACTTTTTGCTTTGGCTTTGGTTTTGGTATCGTCCTGGTGCTGGCATTTTTAGGGATATACTCGTGTTTGATATAAGCACGAGCCTTCTCCTCATTATTCTGGCAAGGTAAAGTATTCCTCGACTAGCCAAAATTATGAATAGCTCATTCGATACTCACGAGAAATTGGCTCTTCTGCTCGGGAGTCATAGTATCCCATGTCATTACAGCATTTTGCTCAACCTCATTTTCACTTAGATAGGAGTGGGTATCTTTGAATTTTTCCAAGAATTTTGAGTAGGCACGAACGTCCTCTTCAATGATAGGTTGTGAACGCGCCGCACCCATTTTAAAAAGAAAACTTTGAAATTTGTCAAGACTTAAAATATACAAAATAAATATTTAAGTACGAGAATTTTTCCTTGTTGCTCAATGCACGACAAAACAAAAACGTATAATGAGCTACAAACAAATTCCGCAATGTCACGAGAGATTGACATCAATTTCTTGGCTCACTGTGATCCAATTTATGCATTTATATTATGTGGTATATAAAATTACCTTATCGGGCGAAATATATATAATATATAGAAGCGACAAAATACCCAGTAGGTTAATGTAAAAAGGAATATAAAAAAAACGTTCTATTGTGCCTCAGCTCGATCTCCCAGATGAATGCGAGTAGTTCTTTTGCTGAAGCAGGGGGTATTCAACCCACTACTGTGAGGTTGAAAATCAATATTTACAAAAATCGAAAATAAATTTGACCATTAGGTCGTATAGTTCAAATATATTGCTCACATCTTCATAGCATAATATTAGGCAAGGTAAGGACGTTAAAACCCGGAATAAACATCGACTACATTTGCAGAAACATGTTTAGAAACTGGAAGGTTGTGACAGAAATTAAATGTCATAATATTAAGTTACAGAGTATACAAATATAAAAGCACAGCACAAGGGAGGCACCATAGAGCTGGTACGGAAAAAGGACTTAAAAGTCACCTCACTCCAAATTGGAAGCTTTTGGTTACATCCTAAAAACAGCCACCATTAAGATATATATAATAGTGTGGCTCCTAAGGAATGTAACTTTTGTTAAATTTATTATAAATAATTAACACTAGCAGCTGTGCTTCAATTTGGTACAGATTAAGACTTGTAATTTTGCCTGGTGATTTCCAGCCATTTGACCATAGACAGCAGCTCCCCTCCCCGTATCGTATGGTTGGCTGGTTCATCAAAGTTGTCATAAGTATATAAACATGCGGCCGAACGGTTGCCATCTTATTTCGTCGCCGGCAGTGAAGAGGTATGCGATGCGAATTGGAAAACCTCCGGATTCGATTGGGTGTTCAAGTTCGATGTTGACTTCAACGAGCGGTCTTCGTCACCCTCGCCCTCACCATCCCCATCAGCCTCACTGGCATCATTTGTGTCGCTCGCCTCGCCAAATACTTCAGACTTTTTTGCTTCCTCGGTCGAAAGGATGCTTTCGCAACTAGAGAATGAGATGGAGCTAAGGTTCGGGGATATATCCTCAATCTGGGTTAAATCAATGACTCCTTCCATATCCTCCGCATGGGTTCCAGCGAAAAAGTGGTTATTGCAATGCATTATGGCGCCCGAGTTAATGGACGTGACCAACACCTTATTGAGGCGTGTTTTAGCCTCGTCTTGCTTCGGCGCCGTGTCCAACGCTTCACAAAAGTGGGCGATCAGCATCTTGTATGGCACTGGTTCCAGGTTCTTGCGCAGATATTGCAGCACGTTATCAGCATTTATATCGGTGTGCGCTGTGTCAGTCATTTTAAAAATATATGACGCGAACAGTCTTTGAATTAAAAGAAATTTTTTACTTGAAAAGGATTATGATTTTCAGTCTTCGAAAAAATATTCGACTATTTAAGTTTTTTAAAATTCGTTTCGATTTGTACGAGATGCTGGAATTAAATGAGGAGCATTTCCAGCTCTGCTGGTAGCTTCAATCTGGTTGCGACAGCTTTGACGTGGGTCACTTTGATGCCTAGAAATATCTTCAACACAAACTTGAAGTCGAATACGGTCACCATATCAGCTTTCATTGTTTACTTTTATAATTTAAACATCCTTTTCAACTATTCCACACCCGAAAGCAATTCAAATTCCCCCATTCTACCTAAAACCCAAATTCCACTCAGCAAAATGGATTTTACGCAATCAGGTGAGCTTTCCAAAATCATTATTTCAGATGTTAAACTTTGAAAACATGTTTACATCCGATCGGATTAAGCCATAGAGCCTTTAACCCGCAATTTTTCAACCAGGAGTGAATACTGCGCACAGCGCAAGAAAGATTTACACAACCGTTTTCCGCCAATTTTCCACAGTTGTCGGTGGAGGTTTCTAAGCGTTCATTTTCATCACATACATACATAACAACATAACATATATACATACATACATAAATACATGCAAACGCACATGTATACAAATATTACCAAAAATACATATACATACCTTAATATTAACTCAACACTTTAAAAAAAAACAAACCAATAGTTTAAGCAAGAAATACTGCCAGGCTTACTTGAATTCATGAGAATCGAGGAGTAAAGCACAACTTTAAAGTACGTTGCTTTTAAATTTACAGCGTAGCTTGAATTTAACTACATTTGCTACATTCATGCATATGTACACACATATATGCATGCATACATACACACATACATATACACACACATACACATACATACATACATATATACATACATACATACATACATACATACATACTTATATACTGATATGCATGCGTATAATACTTACACATATGAATACATACATAAATACATACACACATACATGTATCATACATACATATGTACATACATGCATACATACATACATAAAAACATACAAACATACAAATATACAAGTATACAAGCATACAAACATACATACATGCACACATGTCTGTACACACATGCTACAATTATACATACATATGTCCATGCAAGCATCCATTCAAAGAATTTAAATAAACTTAGTTTTAACGTTGTAAACATTACATTTCCACGAATTTTCCGCCCGTAACTCTAAATGTAACTCTTCATCTTTTACTTTAAATCACCATTTCCAGCCATCGTAGTGAGTGTGAGCAATTGGAATATATATAAAATAGAGATAAATAGAGATAAAAATCAGCTAAAAAGAGTTTGAAGAATGAGCTTGAAGCCGATCAGAACAACCAGGGCTATGTATATGCATACATAGATTTCCATTGTGGTGCAATTGTTTTTCGTTCGGCTTTATTATACATCTTTATTAAACTAGAATATATAATATTTGTTCTTATTTTTAAACTCAGATGCCTAGATGCCTTTAAAATCGCATGAGTGCATTTCTTTCAAGCACATTTGTTCATCGTTATTTTTATTTAATTTCTGTTATTGACTCTTAGAACTTAGGCTTAGGCCCCAACTTATGACTACGACCCGGTCAGCCCGGGCCCTTAGGCGGCGGAGGAAAAAAAAACCAGTGACTAAAATAAATACAACACACACACACGCAGTAACGATAGGGATTTTGTTATGGTAAATGATACTATTTACATTGGCCAATCAGGGAGACAAGGGGCCAGTTAGACGGCCAGGAAGTCGCGGGGATCGCCAATTTTGGGACTCAGACGCACCACTACCTGATCATCGCCATCGCCGACCTCGAGGAACGAGTTCCAATCGGCTAGAAAATAGAAGCCGTTCTTCTTTTTGGGCGGCGGGGGCTCCTCGGATACAGGATCGGGCCCGAACGAGTCGGCCAGATCATCCAGCGAGCCATTGCGCGACTCCTCCGTTGTCGAGGAGCTGCTGCTGGCCTCAGTTGTGGTGCTCGTAGAGATGTCTGCATCGCTGCCCGCTACTGCATCGGTCTCTCCATCGCTGAGTCCCAGATCTAGGCTAATGCGCGTCGGAGCCTGCGTTGTAATTGCCTCCTCCGGCTCCAGTGTAGTTGTGCTGGTGCTGCTGGTGGCGCTGGTGGTGCTGGCGATGGTGCTGCTGTTGTCCAAGCTCTGTCTACGCGGCTTTGTGGTATCAATGCCCGGTGGTAGCGATTGCAAATAAATAGCATCCATCTGCGATTGCGAAGCTGGCTTCATCTGGGCCAGACTTACGTTGAGCAGCTGTAGCTCCTGCAGATTGCTGATTAGACGCTGCAGCTCAGTCAGATCAGCTCCCAGCTCTGGCTGCTCTCGGGCCTCCGCTTGGGGCTCCGGCTTGGCCAGCTGATAGTTGAGCTCACTGAACTCGGCCATCAGATCGCCATCCAGTACGCCATCCTGTTCGTCCACCACCCCCAGCTCCATATCGTCATCGCTACGCCGGCGGAAGCCGCTGCCTGCACCCAGGCTCAAGGACTGCTCCGTGGAGACACCAATGCGATTGGCTGCCCGCTTTATGGCCGCTTCAATGATCTTCGTGGCACTGAACACGGGCAGCTCCACGCTGCTCTCTGTAGTGGGACTGGGACGTGGCGGCCGTGGTGATGCTGGCTTGCTGGTGGTGAGCGAGAAAACCGCCGGCGAAGATGAATCATGGGTTGGTGATGGCGACGGCAATGGTGCGGGTGTTGTCGTTGTTGTGCTGGTAGTGCTGCTGGTGGTGCTGCTGGTGGTGCTGCTGGTACTGGTGCTGCTGGTGGTGGTGGTGGTGCTGGGCTGTGACTGGAACTGGCTTTCCAGCTGCTGGGATAGCTCATTGGGCAGCGCCACGCCCAGTTTCTGCAACTGTTGCGTATTGTAGAGTAGTTTCTGCAGCTCCGCCAAATCGGATTGCTTGCGCGTTGGCTTTGGCGTGGCTGGAGCGGGTTTTGCTGGTGGTGCTGGTGGTTTTGCCGGTAACACCACCGGCTGCATTTGGCTAATTGATGCTGATGCTGGCGCCGGTGTCACGGTCTTATAGATGGGCTGCATGTGCTGATAGCTTTGACGCTCGCCATTGTCCTCCAGGCTGCTGAAGAACTGTTGATAGTGTTTGAAGTCCTGATCCTGATCCGGATCCCGGCTCTGTTGTGGATTAGCCGGCTGTGACATGGCAAATTCGCGCAGCTCCTCGCTAGAGGTCAGGTCATGCCTTGCTGGCAAGGGAGTTGTATACGCTGCTGCCGGTTGCCTATAGACGGGCAGTTCCAGCTTCAGATTCGTTTCCGGGTCAGCTAATGCGGCTGGCTGTGCGTAGACAATCTGTGCGTCGTTCAAGCTCTTCACGTTTTGGGTACGCACGGAGGCGGCGGTTACCAGCTGATGGCTTGTTGTCGGGCGCGCCTCCTGCAGCTGGACACGCTCCAGCTCCTGCACCTTGCTGAGCAGCTTCTGCAGTTGCACATAGTCCTGCGGCTGCACATCCTGCAGCAGGCCATTGCTGCGCTCGAAGCTATTCAGCGGTCGGCGGCGCTGTTTGGCCGTTGAGGCGGCCGTCGAGATTTCCACTTGGCCAAAGTCCTGGCTCAGTATTAGCGGTGAGCCGGCCAGCTGTTGCAGCTGCGCATAATCATTGCTGGGCAGGCCCAGGCTTGGTCCCAGACTAAGTGCGGCGACATTGCGCGTGCTAAAGCTCGGCGTGGTCGGTTTGGGCTGTTGCAGCTGCTCCAGCTGCTGCACGCGTGTTATCAATGCCTCGAACTGTGCGTGATCCACTGCAGCTGCCGCTTTGGTGGGACGCGGCGTCGTCGTGGTCGTCGACGTCGTCGTGGAGGTGCTGCTGCTGGTGGTGGTTGCGCTGGTGGTCGCTCTGCTCTTGGCCGCCTTCTTGCTATTCCGGGCCTGCTCATAGAGTCGTTCCAGCTCGCTGTCGTCGCTGAGCAGACGCTGCAGCTGGAGCAGATCCGCAGCGCCCAGCCCACTGGCCTGCGCCGAATCAAGGCCAAAGCCCAGACCTATTGGCAGCTTCGGTCTCGACGTGGTGCTGGTGGTGGTGGTGGTTGGCTTGCTGGCGGCCTTGCGCACGGCATTCGCCTGTTCCAGCTGCTGCAGCTGACGCAGTATAAGCTGAAGCTCACGTGCATCGCTGTTGGCCGGCTTGGCCGTGGTGCTGGTGGTGGTGGTGGTGGTTGTTGTTGTTGATGAAGCTGTGTTGCTGGTGTCGCTCACGCTGAAACGATTGCTGAGCGCATGGGTGTTAGGATTAGTTGCCTTCAGCACATTCTCGGGATTAATCTTCAGCTTCTCCAGCTCCTGCAGATTCTGCAGCAGCTTGGACAGCTCATCCGTTGAGCTGGCTGGATTTTGGTGGTTGCCTGCGTTCGCAAAGTTGATGTCTATGTTGGGATCGATGCGGCGCCGCGGCTTTTTCGGCTCAATGAGCAAAGGAGCACCATGGGTGATAAGCTGTGCCGTCGGCAGCGATGTGGGCGGCGCTGCTGTTGTTGTTGTTGTGGTCGTCGTGCTGGTGGTACTGGTAGTGCTGGTGGTGCTTGGTGTTGTGCGGGCACTTTTCGTTTGCAGACGTTCCAGCTCCTGCAGATTTTCGAGCAGCTTAGCCAGCTCCGCATTGCTCTGTGGCGGCAGCCTGGCGGTTGCTGTCGATAGCTCCGTGTGGGCGCCCGTTGGCTCCGCCGTGGGCTGAGCTTTCTTTAAAGCCTTCGGCGACTTCTTTACAATGCCAAAGCGCGTCAGATAACCCTCGACCTCGGGCTTCACACGCAGCTCCTCGCCAATGTTAAGCGGCTTGAAATTGGAATAGGCATCCGGTCGGATGCGTGCGCCCTGCAGTCCACGTAAATCCGCCACAGCCACGACCGGCTGTGGTGCACTCTCCGCTGGATAGTAATCGTCAATGGCATAACGCTTGTGAGTGGACTGACCGTTGCCCCCACCAGCTCCGCCCACAATACCCAGACTTTCTAGAATGTCCGCCACGGGCTTAACTGTGCTGCTGGAAGTGGCCAGGGCCGGCTTCGGCTTGCGCAGAAACTGTGCATTCTTGGCGCTGTAATGCGAGCTGAAGCGCTGGCCGGTCTGCTGGGCAGGGCGAAGCGCCGTTTGTGTTAACTGTGACTTGGAGTAGTCGTAAGCCTGCGGCACATTGGTAACCGGCTGGAAGTCCATGCTAGGCTTGGCCAGCGATGGAGCCAACTGGTACATTACTGGCGCCGGCGCTGGCGGATGATATGTAGTCGCTGTGGGCGCCGGTAACAGCTGCTTCTGCAGATTGGCATAGGCTGGCTTGTAGGTGGTGGCAGCCACAGCGGGATTGCCGCCGGGCACTGTGCTGCGAGGCATGGCACTGGGATCGGGCGTCAGAAATTTGATTGGATTGGGTGGCGTATAGGCATCAATTACCCGCGTCACCGGCGGACGCGTATACAGCTCCTGCAGATTCTCCTCGGTATTGTTGTCCGTATTGTAGGGCAGCACCAGCATCAGAGCGCGCATGCTGTCCGCTCGGCTCATGTCGCCCGCCTCGATGCTCTTCTCGTACTCCTCGCGAGTCACCTTCTCGTACAGCTCTTCGATCTCGCCGCTGTCGAAATAAGCAAAAGTAGCAGAAACATGCCCACTTAGTGGAATTGTTGCCTTCCATGGCCAGCACTTACCGTGTCAGCCTGGGCAGCGCCGGATCATTGGCCAGTATTTTCTGCACCTCGTCAATTGTCTGCTCAACCTCTGGTGGCTGGAAGAAGCTCTTGTCCAGCTGCTGCACATAGTTGGCACCACTCTGTTGTCCCTGCTGCTGTATCGTGGGCAATGCCCCAATTCCGCCCATCAACATTGTCAACTGCAGCAGCTGCAGCAGCAGCAGCGGCGGCAGCGGTAGCTGTGCAATCCTCATCCGGACTGAACTGCTCATTTTGGAGCGCTGCAAATAAATGATGCGATGTAAGGGATCTTCAATGATTTCATGGAATTAGCGCTTTCAATATTTGTATTGGACACAATCGATGGCTGACTTATGGCATTTGACATTTTGTTGTCTGAGATACAACGCACAGAAAGTCCAATGTAATCCGTGGGGGCTTCCAACCGCGCGTGCCTGTCGCATGCATCTTAACGGAGCTGAGATTCGTGCCCGTGTAGAGGCGAGGCTCATCTAAAAGTTCTGCCTGTCTGTGGGCACAGCATCCGACTGAATTATTGCTGTCACCAAGCTACCTCCACTCACTCTAGATACTCCCGCCCCAGCCCAATTGGGCTAACCTTGGCCATTAGGCCTTTCTGAGTGGGCTATTTGCAACAGAGAAGGGGCACGAGTCTGCTCTTGGAAGCTCCGCACGAACCGAACACGAGATGAATTAGTAAGGCATGTCCCTACCCGTCCCGTCACGAAATAACTAACTGCTTAAAATATACATAAATGCATTTTTATTTTGTTTTCATGCATAACTATGTTGCTCTTTTCCTGTTCCTGTTTCTGTCCTTGTTGTGGCACGCCAACCCAGTTTGAAATCCATGCAGCAGACGAAATCAATCACAGAGTTTTAACTAATTCATTTAAACTTTTTTCAAATAACACTTTTACCGTCCACTTTTCTCATGAATTTAATTTGGGTTTTTTGCAGCGAACAGCTTCTTGTGTATTTGCTTTACACATTTCATTTTGTTGTTGTGTGAAAAAAAAAAAATAATAAAAATCAAGACTTAATAATAATATGAAATAATGAAAAAGTGTGTTTTCGAGCGATTTCGTGTCTATTGTGCCTTCTCGTGCTCGCACGAATATGATTTTTAGACTTGTCCCGCAGATCGCAGGCCACGGCGCGGCCTGGGCCTACCTCTAGCTCGATTTGGGACTCGTCTACTAGTTCAAGTGCTCTGCTCAGACCATTTGAGGCTTGACGAGCTCACGTAGCTTACTGTGGTGGTATTCCCCTGACTGACCCTGACTAGGTCAACTTGGCTGATTCAGAATAACTATATATACCTAATGGTGACGAGGAAGTCTTCCTCTGCCTGAGACAGACCTTCCCAGAAAACAATTATAGACCAGCTAAGAATCTGTTTAGAAATATGAATAAATAATTTTGTTAAAAACTATATTCATACCATTAAAGAGTAGAGAATTGAAAGGAATCTGTCAAGTTATAAGAAACAATCAATACGAAAACTAAACACGTTGACGAGGAATGCGGAAATCTGTTTGGCTTTGGAGGAAGTTATGGTGCATGTGAAGAATGCACCGAGCATTTATTTAGAAACGTCACGAATCGTAGCAATTTAGTCAGCATTGCGGCAAGCTGGACTTAAAAACTGGCTGCTGGATCATTCCAAGACTATTTCGAAATGACAAGCAGCGCCTAAGTAGCAGTCAGAGCCGTAGTTAGAGTTCCATTTCCAGTTACAGTTTGAGCTCCAGTACGAATTCCAGTTGCACGGCAGCGGACAAGTTGCTGGGGCCATTTAGAATGCGCGGCACGTAGTCAGGTTAGTCGGTTGTTGGAGTTGTTGGAGGCATCGAGCCAGAGCCAAATACTTTGGCCATAAGCGTTGCCTCGTTGTGAGTGTGTTTATGTTATGTTTAATGAGTGCTTTTTTGCCCTCTCTTTCTTGCATTCATTTTGACAAGATTATCTAACAGTTCATTTTGCTAACGGCTTCGCTGCTGGACTCTAACCATGTCAACGTTGTCCACGTAGACGATCGACAATATTTTTCGTTGCCGTCGTCGCTTTCTACGGCAGTCTGTTAATTTATGATTTAACTACGGCAATTAAGTGAAAATTAAACGCTTCGATAGGCTGCAGCCGGAGTACCCGCACTTGCACAGACTGGCTGCAATGGACCGTAAAAAGCAGTTCCGCACAATCAGCCCAGAGCTGGCCAAGATCGACATAGGCAGCGGCATCGTCAATGCTCTTGCGTCACATTTGGCCAGGAGGATCTCTGCCACTTGTCCTCACTGCCCCCTCCCCCCTCACTCCCTCTCCTTCTCCCTCTGCCTCTGCCTCTACTCTCTCTCTCTCTCTTTCAATCACTTTGTTGTTCGCCACAATGATTTTGCAAAATAAATCATAATAAACTAATCGATTTCAATTTTTTCTTTAAGCTCAAGTAACGCCTGCCCCCGCTCCCGCCGCCATCACCCTTCATTCGTTATTGCAAATATTTTCCTTTTAGGCATTTTATATTCATTTTCAATTTCCAACAAAATCTATTTGGTAACTTTCCAGATTATTCAATGATAATATAAATTTGTATACTTGTCGTCTTGTTGGTTTCTGGCTGTCACTTTTGACAACAATTTTGTATACTTTTTTCCGCCTTGCGCTTGGCGGAAATCGACTTGGCAGTTAAGCAAATTGCATATCATTTCATTTCACAGTCTTTTATTGTGCAGATAGTAAAACTCGACTGCATATGATATGCTCTAATGTCGCTCGGTTGATATTCAATTGGTCGGTCAGAAGGCCTCAATTAAGAAATAGATCAAAGCTGGCTACCGCTGGTATTGTAGTTAATGAAAAGCGTTAATGCCAGTGATAATGACATAATGGCAGCCACATACATTGATAAGTATGCGGGAAACCACAAAAACAAACTTCAGTTAAGTCAAAAAGCTAACAACAATTTGAAGCGAGTTTCGATTTGTGGCACTACATTGATTGCATTTAGGCTCGAAATGTTCTTCAAATATTTAAATTGTATTTTTCTATAATACAGTTTAACTCTTCAGTCTGCTTATCGACACAACATTTTTATGCAATATTTGCCACCTTTGAGCTGTTTTTGTTTTATTTGATATTTTATTTACAGCTTTTTCTTTAAGTGTAACGGTGTTTTAAGGTCCATTGTTAGTACATTTTATTTAAACCGATTTTTGGATATGAGAACAAAGTTCGACTTTTTAAACCCGCATCGCCATAGGCTATGCAGCTATGGGGAACAGCAAGCAATTCCAACATAGAAAACCTGCACAGGTATCAGTTTATGACCCTAAGAACTATTACAGGTGCTTCTTGATATGAGTTGCTCATCAACTGTGATATACATTAAAACAGATTGCACAATTATTAAAATAACTTGGCTCTAGATCTCTTAGACAATGGTACAAACACACGACGCTTCAAAAGATTATACCTGCTTGATCTTCCACATAACGTCATAAATTAAGCTAAAATAAATAAACTATAATTTATAATATATTGTTTGTATACATTGGAGCTTAAACAATCCTCACAAATTTTATTATAGTTTACTAATATATTTTCTAATACAGTTTTTCATTGTCCTAGTGCGGATTTAAGACTTGGTGAAGACAAAATGCTTATCTCTGGCAATAATCGAATTGGAGCTGTCTTTTGACAACAATTTAATATTGTTTTGAATTGGTTTTATCAGAGACTTTTCATGCACTCAGGTTTCGCAATTTGTAAAATGTAAACTGCCTCAACTAGTTGAGTTTTGCATAGTTTTCCAAGAGTTTCCCAGAGTTTTTCACTTATGGTTTCTATTGGGTTTTTATTTTCTTCTTATTTTTTTTATGGCATTGCATGGTTTTTGCAATTTCCTTCAACAGTTAACTTTTTCTGCGTACAGCACGTCGCATACGTAATTTCAGTTTTGCATATTTATTTGTTGCAGTAGCCACAGCAAAATTCGATTAAACTTCAAATGTGAAAAAATGTATTTTAATTAAATAATTGCTGTCGCTATGCGTGTCTTTCTGCATGTGTGTGTGTGTTACATTGGCCACAATCAAAACGCAAATAATTTGTTTCAATTGCGGCAACAGACATAACAACAATTACAACAATAACAATAACATTAAATGTGAGCCAATCTTTGGTGAGTGCATTTCCAATCCGCCGCCGACGGCGACGGCGACGGCGGCGTCACTGAAGCGCATTAGACGTCAGCGTCGACTGCGCTGCCGCCACTGGGTTGTGCGTGTTTGTGTGTGTGGCAACAATTAAGTTGCTGTTAAGTAATTTTTTGTGCCGTTTGTTATTGTCATTAACTTCATAAACTAAATGCATCATATTGTCTTCCCATATATATACATATACATATGGATATGCACAATGGCCTAGTCTCTGTGTGGAACACCCCGAAGCAATTAAAGTGATTCGTTTTATGATTGTTTGACATTTTAATTTCATTTTCATTTTACTTAACATTCCGTTTGTTATTCAACTTGACACATTGTTAAACCATATTCGACGGAAGTGAAACTGTCGCAGTGCTTGAGTTTAACAACTTTGACATATACTGTGCACCTCGAATGGGTAATAGGCCAAGTAGAAAACGTTTTAAATATTCGCTTTATGGCTTAAATAGATTAACTTTAAGTCGAAAAAATAGTTAAGAATTTAAGAGTAGTATACTGCTCAACAAATGTTAAACAGCAAACTCCGAATTTCGATTAAAATTAGATACTTGTTAAACCCAACAAAGCTTTAATGTGCTTAAAAGCTTTCGTATATAGCTTAACTTGAAGCTTAACATAGCTTTACAATTTAAGACTTTAATCGCATTACAAATCTGATAGTTGACTCTATTCGGTAGCTTTTAGCTGTAAAGCTTTTAGGTGCTTTCAAAGCTTATTCTGTACAACTTGAGAATGGAATGCAACCATGTGTATTAACAAGTTTTTAAAAGTGAAGTGGATCATACAGTTGTTAAAAATGTAAGCTTGACAATTTATGTGCTTTTAAAGCTTCGTATATTCAATTTTGTGAATAATAAGCTTATATGTATTATTAAACCTTTTGTCTAACATATTCCATTCTTATGTAAAACATGGGATGAGTATTACGGAACTTTGCCAAATTATCA